ATAATCCGTGTCGAGATAAGATGAGATTGTCAAGGATAAGATGAAAAAGAGTCGAATTATGACAACAAAGCGCCGATAGAAGTTCGTGAATCCGAGGAAAGCTTGGACCTGTTTGACGCTCTTTGGTTCGGGCCATTCCATCACGCCCTTGATCTTGACTGGGTCCATCCGCATCGAATTGTGTCCAATAATTACACCCAAATATTCGATTTCCATGCGTTCGAACTCGCATTTTTCGGGTTTCAGGTACAACTTGTGCTTTTGGAGCAATTTGAGTACTCGCTTCGTGATCCGCCAATGTTTGTCCAAGGTTTCTGTGAAGATCAATATATCATCAAGATAAACTACCACATGGCCCTCATTGATCAGCTCTCGGAGTATGTCGTTCATCATATTTTGAAAGGTTGCCGGGGAATTTGTGAGACCAAAGAACATAACCAAGGGCTCATACAGTCCGCGGTTTGTGCGGAACGCGGCTTTCCACTCATCGCCCTCTTTGATCCGTACGTTGTTGTATCCCCACTGGATGTCAAGCTTTGTGAAGAACTTGGCGCCGCATAGATTATGGACCAGTTCGGAGATCAGCGGTAGCGGGTATCGATTTCGGATCGTCATCTCGTTCAGCTTTTGATAATCTTGGACGGGGCATAGGGAGCCATCCTTTTTCTTGACAAAGAAGAATGCTGATGCCATGGGTGATTTTGATGGCCTGATCCGTCCGCTGGCAAGGTTCTCTTGTAAGAACTCGTCGAGTTTGACTTGTTCATTGCGTGATAGTGGGTAAACCTTGCAGTCCACTGCTTTGGAGCCTGGTTTGAGCTCGATTGCATGGTCCCAGGTTCGTCGGTCCAGTAGTGAGTCGAATGATTCCTTGGCAAATACTTTGACGAATTCCCGGTATTGATCCGGAATCTTTCCCTTGATCATCCTCTCCTTCTCTTTTTCCGCTTCTTCTGTGAATTTCTGCGCCGGTGTTTCCTTCAGCCGTAGATCCACCTCCTTTCCAAAGTCGATCAACAGGATCGATTCTCCCTCTTCCAGATCCGGTGCATCCGTGTCCAGGTCGATTGCATCCATGTCGATCATTGCTTGGTGTTCCTTGTGACCCCTCATGTGACACCGTTCTGGGCATCGGCTGAATCTCATTGTCTGCTCCTGCCAATCCACCTCCGGGTTGTGTTCCATCAGCCAATCAAGACCAATGAAGATCCAGGCCTTCCCTAGGCACGTCAGAAGGAAAGTGCGTGTCTCCACATGAGGACCGATTTTCATCCTTAGGTTGACGTAATGCATTATCCGACCGCTGATGTTCTCGGTGTTGTCGGCGTTACGAGCCACAATGGGTTGTGGAAGCTCTTGGATATCCAGCTTCTCTGCCCGCGCGTAGTCGGTATCGATGCAGCAGGTACTACAGCCGCTATCGAGCAGCGCCTTGACTCCGCGCGTTTTCCCTGAGTCCAGACCTGTGATCTGAACGTATACGTCCATCGAATGCCTCTTTATTTTGGCCTCGTAACTGCGCAATTCCTGCGCCAACTTGCTGGGCTGGGGGCCCTTCTGTTTCTCGGCCGCCAATTTCCTCTGGACGGCATCTGGCACCCTGGTGCGCTTGGGTGCTTCTGGAACCTTGATTTCGGCAGATTCCTTGGGCGCTTCCTCCTTTTCCAAGGATTGAGCCTCCGGAGCGGTGCTCCCCTTTTTGGTCTTTGTTGATGTGGTTCCTTCTCCACGAGCCATAAATACGTAGGAGTCCAAAATTAATTTATCTGCAGCTTTCTGATCCTTTTTACTCTGTAAATACTCTCTATTTAAAGCTATTTTTCTTCACTACAGTCAGACAGGTAACTAGGCCTCTAAGGGGTGTCATGACGAAAGTGGGACCCACCTTAGAGGCCAGTTTTCAGCATAGCTACCACTGTGGTATGTACCAGTCTGGTATCTACCTGAGTGCAGGTATGTACCTGCGACTGGTGGGTGGGACCCCAGCTGGCAGCCGGGGGCAAAAAATGCATTTTTGGGGCCGTTTCTAGGCTGTTTTGGCTGATTGTTTGAGCATTCTGCCAGGCTAGGTTTACCCATTTTTTGTGCAAAACTTTGATCCACATCATTTCTGAAGTGATCCCATCATGGGAACCATTTTGGATGCTGCGCTCCAACCAGTGATCTGATCACCCATGTGTATAGATGAAAGTTGTTCAGTTTTGTGAGGGCTACAACTTTGGTTTCTCATCACTTTCTTTGTCAGCATCAATCACATGCTCTACTGCCACGGCAAATGGCTCTGTTTTTGATTGCGCATCAATTTTTGATGGTGCCAATGATGCCAGTTCCAATCTCATCTTATCTTTCAGACCTAGATTGACATTTGGTGCTTACTCAATGGTGGTCCCTGATAATCAAATCCCAGAGAAATCTAATCTTGATGTGGCTGTGTGTGATTGGATCTATAATGTGGCACAGCTTCCATTTTAGGTTGCATGTTCAACTTACATAATCTCAATTGAACATATTGGACATGTGACTTCCTTTTGGGGATATTTTGATGCAACTTATAGCAACCCAAAAAGGAAATTTCCCTCAATTTTGCAATAGCACATGCTCATATTGTGGGTTTCTTCTCAGCTCTTTAGGATATATTCTCTTATGTGATTCCTTGCACTTGTGCTCTTCAAAACTTCTACACTGTTGTTTAATGCCTCTATATCCTAATTCTTTCAATGATACCCTATATGACTTTCATTGACAACACATACTTCTCTATGCATATTCCTATTTATTTCTAATGTTTTATGCCTTTCAAGTAATGTGTTGCTGTCCTGGATTACATAGTAGAGCCAGCCATTGCATAAATATATGGATAGTAACCATTGCATACCCATCCTGCTTTACCACATAACCGGCTATTTCTACACCCCCAATTTACATGAGTCATGCCTTCATTGTTACAAAGAAGAGTTATTGAGATTAACATGAACATAGAAACAAAGAATACAGTGAAAGCAATGGTCACAGATGGGAAATCAAAGTGCCCTTTGTAATGCAGGTATTCTTGCTTCAGTAACTCAAAGCAATGTTTCACTTTATTGTAGCAACCAATTCGAAGATTTTCCGCACTTCATTGATCTGAAAATGAGGCTGTATCTATTTCATTCAGGTGCATCTGGTTTTATATTGCAAGGTGAATAGGGACCCTTTGGATGGGTTTCATGCTCTCTGCAACATTGCAATGAGCTTTCACAGTGATAATCTTCCAGATTATGACATCTATGGCAAGGAAACACAAAAAGACCACATGACATTGAATTAGTGTGTCTCAACAAGATTCAGATATTCTACCAATGCAAGTTCGAAAAAAATCGCACTTTTCTGTCTGCCTCTGCAATAGATGTCATAATCTGGAAGATTATCACTGTGAAAGCTCATTGCAATGTTGCAGAGAGCATGAAACCCATCCAAAGGGTCCCTATTCACCTTGCAATATAAAACCAGATGCACCTGAATGAAATAGATACAGCCTCATTTTCAGATCAATGAAGTGCGGAAAATCTTCGAATTGGTTGCTACAATAAAGTGAAACATTGCTTTGAGTTACTGAAGCAAGAATACCTGCATTACAAAGGGCACTTTGATTTCCCATCTGTGACCATTGCTTTCACTGTATTCTTTGTTTCTATGTTCATGTTAATCTCAATAACTCTTCTTTGTAACAATGAAGGCATGACTCATGTAAATTGGGGGTGTAGAAATAGCCGGTTATGTGGTAAAGCAGGATGGGTATGCAATGGTTACTATCCATATATTTATGCAATGGCTGGCTCTACTATGTAATCCAGGACAGCAACACATTACTTGAAAGGCATAAAACATTAGAAATAAATAGGAATATGCATAGAGAAGTATGTGTTGTCAATGAAAGTCATATAGGGTATCATTGAAAGAATTAGGATATAGAGGCATTAAACAACAGTGTAGAAGTTTTGAAGAGCACAAGTGCAAGGAATCACATAAGAGAATATATCCTAAAGAGCTGAGAAGAAACCCACAATATGAGCATGTGCTATTGCAAAATTGAGGGAAATTTCCTTTTTGGGTTGCTATAAGTTGCATCAAAATATCCCCAAAAGGAAGTCACATGTCCAATATGTTCAATTGAGATTATGTAAGTTGAACATGCAACCTAAAATGGAAGCTGTGCCACATTATAGATCCAATCACACACAGCCACATCAAGATTAGATTTCTCTGGGATTTGATTATCAGGGACCACCATTGAGTAAGCACCAAATGTCAATCTAGGTCTGAAAGATAAGATGAGATTGGAACTGGCATCATTGGCACCATCAAAAATTGATGCGCAATCAAAAACAGAGCCATTTGCCGTGGCAGTAGAGCATGTGATTGATGCTGACAAAGAAAGTGATGAGAAACCAAAGTTGTAGCCCTCACAAAACTGAACAACTTTCATCTATACACATGGGTGATCAGATCACTGGTTGGAGCGCAGCATCCAAAATGGTTCCCATGATGGGATCACTTCAGAAATGATGTGGATCAAAGTTTTGCACAAAAAATGGGTAAACCTAGCCTGGCAGAATGCTCAAACAATCAGCCAAAACAGCCTAGAAACGGCCCCAAAAATGCATTTTTTGCCCCCGGCTGCCAGCTGGGGTCCCACCCACCAGTCGCAGGTACATACCTGCACTCAGGTAGATACCAGACTGGTACATACCACAGTGGTAGCTATGCTGAAAACTGGCCTCTAAGGTGGGTCCCACTTTCGTCATGACACCCCTTAGAGGCCTAGTTACCTGTCTGACTGTAGTGTTTTCTTTGGCGTTCTTTTTCCATATCAGCAATGAGAAAATCGTGAATATTGGTACGTAGTGAGTCCGAGATTGTGTATGTATGTGCAGAATCGTTCATGTCTTTAATCGAAACAAGTATAGAAAATCGTCCATAGTCTGGACGCTCCACCTCCTTGGCTAGAGGAATGGAGCGCTTCAAAAACCCTTCTCGCGCAGCTTCTCGGCAATCTCCTTGAGGAACTCGTTGTCCTTGTCCCCGTTCTCGATCTCTTCAAGCATCGTGGCCCGATTGAAGAATGTGCGCTTCTTCCTTGGTTCCGGGCAGTTCCGCGCAATGTGCCCAGGCTGCTGACAGTTGTAGCAGATGATATTGCGGCCGCGGGCGTGCGTGCGATCGATCTCCATTGGAACCGGTTTGTTGACAGCAGGTCGGGCCGGGGCGGGTGCAGGTGTCGTCGGGGCTACCTGCGGTCGGAATTGGGGAGGCGGTCGTGGTGCGGAGTGCGCATGTGATGCTTTGCGCAGCTGATCGCGTAGAGCGTTCGCCTCGATGTTGACACACCAGTCCTTGAAGGCACCATACGCCTTGGGCAGAGGAACACCAGTGTTGTAAAGGCGACTTGCAATCTCGCTGCTCAACCCGCGCTCAAGGAACTCGATGAGGATGTTGTCCTGATCCCCCTCCTTGTACTCGCCCTTGTCATCAGTCGAGGTGACCACGTTGTACCCCGTGTCCGCAGCCAGCATTTTGAAGTCAGAGATATAATCCACAAAGGACCGTCTATTCTGGCGTAGAGCCATAAGTCGAGCGGCGGCAACTTGCTCCGCGTTGGAATCCCCAAAGGCCCTCTGAAGCTCCTCCAAGAAGGTCGCCGAGGTGACCCCAGCTTTCAGTCCATTAAGGCTTTTGAAGTTGCGCTGTTTCCAGTTCATTGCCCATCTCGAGGCGGCGCAGCTCGTGCCAGCCTCGTTGCGGAGGTACGAGAGGATGAAGAGGATTTTTGTCTCGTCCTGTGAGAATTCTGACCGATAGGCACCGATGTAGGTGGTGCATGAGTCCACGAAGCCCATATATCTGGACTTGTCCCCATCGAAGTAGGGGGGTTTGGCGGCGAGGGTGATGCGGTGATGTCCTGACATGGTACGAGCAGGTGTGGTAGGTGGGTGTGAAGGTGGTTGTTCGGAGGGCAGTTCGTCGAGGTCGGGGATCTCGTCTTCAGGTGGTGGGAGGGCAAGATAGGGGTTGGAGGGCCCGGGTTTGTTTTAATGCGCCAGATCGGGCGACGATGGTAGGATGGGAGGAGGGGATGGACTCCCAGACAATGATGGGAATCGGTACAAAATGGTGAATTCGTGTGCTGTACAAGCACTCGAGGGAGGGTTCTTTTGCTAGCAAAAAGATCCCGAGCCTAGTGTGATAATCAACCCAAAAACAAAGTCGAAAAGAGAAGTGAATTCGAAGACTGGAGAATACAACCAAGTAGCTACAGTATTTATACCCAAATCCAGTCTGAGTCATATCTACAACTAATGAGTCATAGGGCTATGTACCGCATGGAACGCTGGTCATGGGTCGTAGTAGAACCTTCTAGAGCATATGTCGCGCAGCCTCGAATCGATGAAGATAATCCCTGAAACCCCTAGTCCGGACCGTCTGATGCCGTGATCCGTGATAAGATAAGTTGTGCAAAGATAAGATCGTCGATGATAAGATGAAAAAGTGGCCGAACTATGACATTACCCCCTCTCTAGGGTCGATGTCCTCATCGACCAGGCCAATGGGTAAGAAGACGTTCTCGTAAGGGTCGAAGAGCTGTCGTTGGGGGTATGGAAGGCGCTCGTCCCTGGGCTGGTAGCGATGAATGAGATAGTCCCAGTGTCCAGCTTCGAGCGTTGGCAGGAGGCGAATGCGTGTGTCTGGATTTGATTGTTTCCTCTGCCAGTCTCTCAGGACGTCCTTTGCGTGGGTAAGGTGACGTGATGGTTCCCAGGTGTTCTCGCTGTGCGGCCATCCCTTCCATTTGACCAAGTACTGTTTTCCTCGGCCGACTTTTCGCTCTTTCACGATTTCTTCGACTTCCCACTCCTCTGCTCCTCCGATCATCTTGGCCACGGGTCTCTTCTCTCGGCGATGGGGGGGTGGTTCGTGATAGGGTGTCAACAGTGACTCGTTGAACACCGGGTGTCTTCGGTCCGTGTCCGGCAAATCCAGCTTCCATGCGGCCGCTCCAACCTTCTCCAGTATCTCGTATGGTCCCAATCTCTTGTCGCTCATCTTCTTTGATGGTCTATCCGTCTCGATATTTTCCCCTTCTATGTACACCTTCATCCCAACCTTCAACTCCGGAACTTCTTTTCTTTGTTTATCGTAGTATTTTTTCATTTTTTCTTTTGCTTTTTCCAATGCTGCTTTTGCTTCGTCTTGTATTTCTTTGATTCTTTTTACAAATTCCTCCGCCGACTCGTTCCTTGATTCCATCCGCTGCTCCACTCCCTTCCATGGGTGATATCCGTGATTAGCATAGAACGGCGACATTTTGGTAGACGTGTTCATTTTGTCGTTGTATGCGAACTCCGCCATTCCCAGCCACTCCGACCAGTCCGTCTGATGGTAGTTGACGTAAATGCGGAGATAGTGTTTGATCTCCTGATTCATACGCTCCGTCTGCCCATCCGTGATGGGGTGATATGCGGTCCCCGGATTCATTTCCACGCCCAACATCCGATTCGTTTCCTTCATAAAGCCCTTGATGTATCGAGAGTCCCTGTCAGTGATGATTTTGCGGGGGACCCCGTGATAGCGGAAGATTCGGTCCCTGGTTAATCGTGCTACTCCTTCGCTGCTGATGTCAGTACTAATTGGTTCGACATGGATCATTTTGGTGAAGGTGTCACACCACACATGAATTGCGTCATACCCGTTACTGACCGGCAGGGGTCCGATCTGATCCATGGAGATGATTTCCCACGGCGCGTTTGGAACTGCATGCGGGTGCAAACTCCCTGTCCTGGCTCTTCTGGTCTTGGTCCGCTGGCACGCTTCGCACGTCTGGATGTATTTCCGAATTTGGTTTCCCATCCTTGGCCACCAGTAGTTCCTTTCCACCATCTCCTGCGTTCGGTTGATCCCGGCGTGTCCGACCAAAGGGGTGTCGTGGTGTAGTCTGATGATTTTGTCCCGCAACTCCTCGTCCCTTGGTACGTAGAGCTTCCCATGGTACGTGATAAGCCCCTCTTCCTTCTTCCATCCGGCGAGTGACTTCTCTAAGGCCGCCTTGACGCTTCCATCAATTGATCGAATGGCCTTGATTTCGTCGATTAGCTGCTGATCCTGTCCCTCGAATGTGACTTCTTGTGATCGGAAGAACTCGGGCTTCAGTAGCGTGACGTCCTTGTTGTCGTTCTTGCCCTGATCGTGATCTGCTCGTCGGGACAGGAGGTCCGCCTTGCGGTTGAGTGCGCCGGGTCGGTGTCGTAAGGTGAAATCGAACTCCGCCAACTCCGTGATCCATCGTGCTTGTCGTCGATTGAGCTTCTGCGGCTTCCGAAAGTACTCGAGATTCTGATGATCGGTGAAGATCTCGAACGTTTCCGTGGCTCCCAGGAGCAACTGCCTCCATTCGTCAAGTGATAACATGATTGCGAGCATCTCCTTGTCGTAGATCTCATAATTTCGCTCGGTTTCGGTCAATGCGTGCGAAATAAATGCGATTGGGCGCCAAATGCCGTCTTGGTTTTGGCTCAAAACTGATCCTGTTGCCCCTTCCGAAGCATCGGCTTCCAGACGATATTGGCCAGTGTCATTTGGCAGTGCTAAGACGGCATCCTCCGCGATTCTCTTCTTTAACCCATCAAACGCCGCATGTTCATCCGGACCCCATGACCATCCTGCCTTCCCTGTCAGCCGCGTCAACGGCTTGGCGACCTCCGCATATCCCCGAACGAAACGTCGATAGAAGTTTGTGAATCCGAGGAAGGCTTGGACTTGTTTGACGCTCTTTGGTTCCGGCCATTCCATCACGCCCTTGATCTTGACAGGGTCCATCCGCATCGAGTTGTGTCCAATGATTACACCCAGGTATTCGATTTCCGTGCGTTCGAACTCGCACTTTTCCGGCTTCAGGTATAATTTGTGCTTTTGGAGCAACTCGAGTACCCGTTTGGTGATTCGTCGATGTTCATCCAGATTTTCTGTGAAGATTAGTATGTCGTCCAGATAAACTACCACATGTCCCTCGTTGATCAGTTCCCGGAGTATGTCGTTCATCATGTTTTGGAAAGTTGCCGGGGAATTTGTGAGACCAAAGAACATAACCAAGGGCTCGTAAAGTCCGCGGTTTGTGCGAAACGCAGCCTTCCACTCATCGCCCTCTTTGATCCGTACGTTGTTGTATCCCCACCGGATGTCTAGCTTGGTGAAGAACTTGGCGCCGCACAGGTTGTGGACCAGTTCGGAAATCAGCGGTAGCGGGTACCGATTTCGGATCGTCATCTCATTCAGCTTCCGGTAATCTTGAACAGGCCGTAGCGAGCCATCCTTCTTCTTGACAAAGAAGAATGCCGATGCCATGGGTGATTTTGATGGCCTGATTCGTCCGCTGGCTAGGTTCTCTTGTAAGAACTTGTCGAGTTTGACCTGCTCGTTTCTCGATAAGGGGTACACCTTGCAGTCCACTGCTTTGGAGCCTGGTTTGAGCTCGATCGCATGATCCCATGCCTGTCGGTCCGGTAGCGAGTCGAATGATTCCTTGGCGAATACTTTGACGAATTCTCGGTATTGATCTGGAATCTTTCCCTCGGTCATTCTCTCCTTCTCCCTTTCCGCTTCTTCTGCGAATTTCTGCGCCGGCGTTTCCTTCAGCCGTAGGTCTACCTCCTTTCCAAAGTCGATCAACAAGATCGATTCTCCCTCTTCCAGATCCGGTGCACCCGCGTCCAGGTCAATTGCATCCATGTCGATCATCGCTTGGTGCTCCTCGTGACCCCTCATTTGACATTGCTCTGGGCATCGGCTGAATCTCATTGTCTGCTCCTGCCAATCCACCTCGGGGTTGTGTTCCGTCAGCCAATCCAGGCCGATGAAGATCCGGGCTTTTCCCAGACACGTCAGAAGGAACGTGCGTGTCTCCACATGAGGACCGATTCTCATTCTCAAGTCGACGTAGTGTGTGATCCGACCGCTGATGTTCTCGGTGTTGTCGGCGTTACGAGCCACAATGGGTTGCGGAAGCTCTTGGATATCCAGCTTTTCTGCCCGTGCGTAGTCGGTGTCGATGCAGCAGGTACTGCAGCCACTATCGAGCAGCACCTTGACTCCACGCGTTTTCCCTGAGTCCAGGCCCGTGATCTGGACATATACGTCCATCGAATGCCTCTTTCTTTCGGCTTGGTAACTGCGCAATTCCTGCGCCAATCTGCTGGGCTGGGGGCCCTTCTGTTTCTCGGTCGCCAATTTCCTCTGGATGGCATCTGGCACCCTGGTGCGTTTGGGTGCTTCTGGAACCTCGATTTTGGCAGATTCCTTGGGCGCTTCCTCCTTTTCCAAGGATCGAGCCTTCGGAGCGATGCTCCCCTTTTCGGTCTTTGTTGACGTGGTTCCTTCTCCACGAGCCATAAATACGTAGGAGTCCAAAAATAATTTATCTGCAGCTTTCTGATCCTTTTTATCTTGTAAGTATTTTCTATTTAGAGCTATCTTTTCCTGGCGTTCTTTTTCCATCTCGGCAATAAGAAAATCGTGAATATTTGTACGTAGTGAGTCTGAGATCGTGTATGTAGATGAAATATTGTCCGTATCTTTAATCGAAACAAGTACAGAAAATCGTCCATAGTCCGGACGCTCCACCTCCTTGGCTAGAGGAGTGGAGCGCTTCAAAAACCCTTCTCGCGCAGCTTCTCGGCAATCTCCTTCAGGAACTCGTTGTCCTTGTCCCCGTTCTCGATTTCTTCCAGCATTGTGGCCCGATTGAAGAACGTGCGCTTCTTCTTGGGCTCCGGGCAGTTCCGCGCAATGTGCCCGGGCTGCTGACAGTTGTAGCAGATGATATTGCGGCCGCGGGCGTGGGTACGATCGATTTCCATCGGAACCGGTTCGTTGGCAGCGGGTCGGGCCGGAGCGGGTGTGGGCGCCACTGGTGCCGTTTGGGGACGGAACTGGGGAGGTGGTCGTTGTGTGGGGTGCCCATACGACGCTTTGCGCAGCTGGTCACGCAGAGCATTGGCTTCGATGTTGATGCACCAGGCTTTGAACGCTCCATAGGCCTTGGGCAGAGGGACACCGGTGTTGTAGAGACGGCTGGCGATCTCGCTGCTGAGTCCGCGCTCCAGGAACTCGATGAGGATATTATCCTGGTCCCCCTTCTTGTATTCGCCTTTGTCGTCGGTGGTGTCAACCACATTGTAGCCTGCATCCGCGGCCAACATCTCAAAGTCGGAGATGTAGTCCGCGAAGGACCGTTTGTTTTGACGCAGGGCCATAAGCCGAGCAGCGGCGACTTGTTCCGCATTGGAGTCCCCGAACGCCCTCTGAAACTCCTCCAGGAAGTTCTTTGATGTGACTCCTGCCTTCAGTCCCTGGAAGCCATCGAAGTTGTGCTGCTTCCAGTTCATCGCCCATCTCGAGGCAGCGCAGCTCGTGCCGTTCTCGTTACGGAGGTAGGAGAGGACAAAGAGAATTTTGGTCTCATCTTGTGAGAACTCCGATCGATAGGCACCGATGTAAGTGGTGCATGCGTCCACAAAGCCCAGGTATTTGGACTTGTCGCCATCGAAGTAGGGGGGGTTGGCGGCGAGGGTGATGCGGTGATGCCCTGACATGGTAGGGGCAGGCGTGTGAGGTGGAGGCGAGGGTGGTTGTTCGGAGGGCAGTTCGTCGAGGTCGGGGATCTCGTCTTCAGGCGGTGGGAGGGCGAGGTAGGGGTCGGAGGGCCCGGGTTGGTTTTGATGCGCCAGATCGGGCGACGATGGTACGATGGGGGGGAGGGGATGGACTCCCAGACGACGATGGGAATCGGTACGAAATGGTGGATTCGTGTGCTGTACAAGCACTCGAGGAAAGGTTCTTTTGCTAGCAAAAAGATCCCGGGCCTAGCTCTTCACGTGCCCGATGATCCCGAGGTGCGTTTTCCCGAAGGTCTCCGCAGCACTCCTTGTAGCTACCGTAAGGCTTGGGTCGGGCTCAACGTTACCCGTGGCCTGGTGCTGTTTGCTTGATATGAACCCTTCACTGCGATAGTGGAGGACGACTAGATGATTCGGTAAAAGGGTGAGTGGGGTGATAAGGGTTAAGAGGATATAGCGGGCGTAGCGGTGCAAGATGCAGGGTAAGAGGTATGAGGTAGGAGGGTATGAGGGGAGTCTTCGAATTATGTGATAATCAACCCAAAAACAAAGTCGAAAAGAGAAGTGAATTCAAAGACTGGAGAATACAACCAAGTAGCTACAGTATTTATACCCAAATCCAGTCTGAGTCATATCTACAACTAATGAGTCATAAGGCTATGTACCGCATGGAGCACTGGTCATGGGTTGTAGTAGAACCTTCTGGAGCATATGTCGCGCAGCCTTGAATCGATAAGGATAATCCCTGGAACCCCTAGCCCGGACTGTCTGATGCCGTGATCCGTGATAAGATAAGTTGTGCCAAGATAAGATGAGATCGTCAAAGATAAGATAAAAAGTGGCCGAATCATGACACTGCAGCACTCCTTGTAGCTACTGTAAGGCTTGGGTTGGGCTCAACATTACCTGTGGCCTGGTGCTGTTTGTTTGATATGAACCCTTCACTGCAATTGCAGAGAACAATTAGATGATTTGGTAAAAGGGTGAGTGGATTGATAAGGGTGAAGAGGATATAGTGGGTGTAGCAGTGTGACAATCAACAAGAAATAATGTCGAAAAGAGAAGTTAATTCAAAGACTGGAGAATACAACCAAGTAGCTACAGTATTTATACCCAAATCCAGTCTAAGTCATATCTACAACTAATGAGTCATAAGACTATGTACCACATGGAGCACTGGTCAGGGGTTGTAGTGGAACCTTCTGGAGCATATGTTGCGCAGCCTTGAATCAATAGAGATAAAACCCCCTGAGCCCCTAATCCAGAACGTGTAGTAATGCTGTGATCTGCAGTAAGATAACCCGTGCTGAGATAAGATAAGATCATTGATGATAAGATGAAAAAGTGGTTGAACTATGACAATTAACTGGCACTGTGAGGGGACTTATTTTTATTCCATGGAAAATGTGTGACAATCTAGAAGTCCAATTTTCACTGTTCTGTTTTCAGATAAAAATATATATATTGAAAATAGACATTGATTTACAGCTCAATTTTTACCATGAATAAACATCTATTCCTCCTGAAAACAGAACTGTAATTAGATCATCTTTTTTTAATTGATTCTCACTTGTAAAAGACATTGATTCTCACTGAAAATAGAAACAAAAAAAGATGATCTTTTTTTACTGAAAACAGATGAAAACCACTAGAAGAATCTGTTCATTCCAGCCCCAATTTGCATTCCTGGCCTTGCAAAATGCTACTGAATGCTACTCACAGCATGTTGGAATCATGTTGCAGGACTTGTGATGTGAATTGGGGCCAGAATGAATAGATTCTTCAAGTGGTTTTCCAGTGAAAAAGATCATCTTTTTTTGTCTATTTTCAGTGAAAATCGACGTCTATTCCCAGTGAGAGTCGATTAAGAAAAAGATGTTCCAGTTCTCTTTTCGGGAGGAATAGATGTCTATTCATGGTAAAAATCGAGCTGTAAATCTACGTCTATTTTCAATATATCTTTTTGTCTGAAAACAGAACGGTGAAAATCGGACTTCTCGATTGTCACGTATTTTCCACGCAAAAAAAATGAAGTCTCCCCCAGTGTGGCGGCCTTTTTGACCAACACGGCTCACCGCTGATCATTGAGCGGACCTGGCTAGTGCTGGGCTAGCTATGAATGAATTTGTAGCATAGCAATCATAGCACAATATTTAGCATGCTATATAGCAACCTAGCAATTCTGCCAGAAAATGGTGTGCTATGATTTGCTATAAACTCCCTAATTGATTACTGATAACGTCGATCTGCTGCTGTTCACATGAATCACATCTTTTGTTAATCAATCTGCCGTTCCCTGCCGGAGCAGCACGGAAATAATCCTGACAGTTGTTGAGCACTGGGGAGAGCGTCTAGCAGCTCACCTGTGTGAGTGAGAGCTTAGTGTGGGCACTATGCGGGAGTAGTCCAGAGACTTGTATTAAAGGGTAATAGAGCCCTCCTTTTATATGTTACAGGATGTAGTCATATGATATGTCCCATGATGCCATCTATCAGATTTGATGTGGCTGTGGTAAGTCCTCAGTATCTTCAAGCTTGACTCCTTGACAGCCACTGCCACAATGCTGTGCCAACAACAGTGCCAACACACATTCCGCGTCTGCCGTTGTCGTCAGAAGACTTCGGCCATCTAATGATTACATGCACCACTTGCATTGACAAGGAAGACTCGGTCTACCACACGATGGACGGTCGCTGAGTTTGTGCATCTTGATAGCGCTTTGCTTGGACAGTCAATCCTTGTGACTGCTGGCACACCTGCAGTGGCATTGGTATAACCCAGCGCTCCGAAAACGGAAAAAGAGGTCGCAAATCAGCCCTGGGATCCTGAGGACAATGACAAGTAGATATCCATACTTTTTCACATTTTACACTCCAAAATCAACACTAGCAGTCCATGAGAGGCTTGTAACAGCAAAATTTCATTCGTGCTAAATATTGTGCTAAAATTGATATATAGCAAGGATATATAGCGTAGCAACCTGGGCCTCTGTTTGTAGCTGCTATGAATGTAACCTAGCAAGTTCAAAATAATATTTAGCCCAGCACTAGACCTGGCCGAAATTGAAACCCCATCATTATCGCGATCCCGTGGCTGTGTGACATTTATTGAAGCCTGATCCCGTCATTTCTTTTTCTCAGACGCTATCGTGGGGCGGTCAAATGGACGGAACCAGACTCCACTAGCACTTCTTGACACGTCCTGCTTGTACTTTTCCGTGGTTGCGCCTTGGGAGGCAAACGCAAAACGTGCAACAAGATTGATTGGATTCGAGTTGCCAACCGACATCTCCAGCCAAGCTGTTGTTCGCCGTCCGGTCGACGACAGCGACCGGCCCCCGAATTGGATGGACGGGATACTCGTCGGCGGGGACTGGTTCCCGAGACCTAATACCTCCGCAATCCTATTCGAAAAACATGTGGAAGTGTTCATCGACGGGCCCCGCACCAGACAATTTCGTACTTATTTCTAGCGGAAGTGGCTCACGGATATCATCTCGCTGCCGCTCCATTCCATGTCAGATCACTTGCATATTCTGCTCGTCACCTTTCCTGCGTGGGGTATTACTTTACAGCGAAACAGTATGAACATTGGCTACCGACTGACTTGACGACAGGCCACATCCGCCCTCTCTGCGCCCTCGGCAGTCGGCTGGCTGCGGCGCAGCCGAATGTGCTGGTGACCATCTTCACGACGGCCGCGTTCTACGAGAAGATATGTGCCGAGGTTGAGGGGCATTTCCTCACCGATAAGGATGGTTGTTATTCTCATATCCGGTCAGTGCAGCACGCTTTCATAGGACTCACATAATAGAACTGAACATTTATCAGCGTGGTCTCTATCGTCGAGGCAACAGCGATTCGACCCTCGGAGCTGGTTGGACGATTCGGTGAAGCATATCCAGCGGCGTATGAGCGCCTGTTTCGTGGGGAGGAGGTCATCTGCACGAGGACGGGTATCGTCGGGGGCACGATCCCTCCCCCCCGGGCCATCATCATGGACGTGCGTGGAACTCGCCGCGTGTGTCTAGCCGCTGTATGTACCTAATTCCTCCTGACAGTTTTTCTCGGTCATGCAACTGCATCAGACACGCGCCATCAGTGGACCCTGCGTCCCGATTTTCACACTGGCGTCGTGCAGCACCGCTGCTCTGGTTCGCCTATTCGGGCCTGAGGAAATTGGTGGGTTGGGCGATTTTGGCGCGAGGACAGATGCGGAGGCTTTGCGGACGGGTAAGGTAAATCGACAGCGGAGATTGGAGATCAGGTACGTGCTGCACCTATCTCTCGGTGGCAATTGATCTAGGCTCAGTCTTTCAATCTCGCCAGATCTTCAAACATACAGATGGTTCGGTCATTCGCCTGCCCGGTATTCCTCCGATGTATGATTATGAGTTTTTCCCGCAGACGGTATGTCTACAGATCTTCATTCTCGTGCACCGAAACTCAAAAAAAACCTCTTTTAGCTACCCTGGGATATACCCATGGCCCCCATAGTAAGGGCTGGCCACGAGTATGTGTGCCTCTCATCTCTCTACGGCCTCGGTCTCATTGCTCTTCAGAATGTTTACGCGTTGCGACGGTGTGCTGATAAATACTTGTCGGGCATACGGTTCCGAGACTCTAGATGCTCTAGAATCCTGGGTAGTCTCCTCCCTGGAAAAACCGCTCTTCCCAGTGGGACCTCTTCTCCCGGCGACACACGGCCGAGATGCTGACTGCGAGAATTTCCTGGATAATGCTCTGGCTACCTCCGGCCCTCGTTCAGTCGTCCTGGTAGGCAGATCATGGTTGCTTGCTCGGTTGCTGTGCTTGATATGGGATGCAGATCTCATTCGGAACCCTCTTTTGGCCGCGAGATACTGCTCATCTCGAACAGCTAGTGGATACATTGATTGAGATGAATTTCCACTTTGTACGTGCATCGAGAGTCGCGAGAGTCCTGATATCAAGGTGTTGACAGAAAGCAGATCTTGGCGCATGCATCCTTCGCAGCGCGAGTTCCACACTCGCTAACGGAGAGAATCGCTGCCTCGCCGCTTGGAATGTCGACTGCTTGGTGCCCCCAACAACTGATCCTCACGCACGCAGTCAGTGAGCCGGATCTCTCCGTATATCTCATCGCCTTACGAGTGCCCAGGCAACAGGATGGTTTGTCACACACGGCGGCCACGGCGGGATCACCGAGTCGCTCTCAGCTGGGGTGCCGATGATCGTGTGGCCGTTTGACGGAGACCAGCCCACGGCCGCAGTCCTGCTCTCGCAGGTTCTCGACGTCGCCTTCCACCTCATCGAGATCCGATCGGGTGAGAACGGGATGCGCCCTATGTATTCCGGCCAGCAGCCTTCCGGCGCGGTCAAGGAAGAGTTTGCGCGCGTTTTGGCCGCCGCGAGAGAGGGAGAGGGCTTGCGGAAATGGGAAAACGCGCGCAAGCTTGCGACCCAGTTTAGGCTTGCCTGGACAGAGCAGGGTGAGGCGACCAAGACAATCGCGTCGTTCCTGCGGAAGATTTCCCTGTAGTTGACGCGCTGTCATCATGCGGAGGGGCTTCCGCAGGTGACTCACGCGAGATGTGTGGCTGCAGGTACATACGCATACAGGGCATGGCTCCCCGCTGTAGAATACTTTACACGCTGGACGCACAAAAGTCTTTATTCCCAGTCCACTGGAAAGTGACCCAGGAGTCCAGGATAGCTTCTATCGGACGGCGGGGCATAACACCATCCTCTGTGGTCGCGAACTGAACCAGTGTGAAATAAAGCACGCGCATATCCGCCTCCATAGCTTCAGCGTCCGCGATACTGAGTTGGGCAATCTCGGAGAGAGTACGAGAAATAGTCGAGGCATCATCGTCGGAGAGTGTCCTTCACGGGCGATGAATGAAGGCCTCCAGCGTCCCTCGAGATACGAGCAAGGGAGCGATCAACGCCAGAAGAACCCCCGGCCGAAATCCCTGAGTCTTCGCGGTCGCTGTATGCGCCGAAGCTGCCCATTTCAGAGACCTCCCCCAGCTTCCTCCCAGCCTGGATGCTCCGCGCCTTCCCCCTCTGCTATGGCCTCCCATCCAGACCGTCGGCGTCGTGCAGCCCGTACGTATCGTGCAACGAAGCGACCGGCGCGGTCGTATGCCTGCTTCCTGTGCTGTCCGTGTGACCAACGACTGGGCTCCAGCCAGTGTCCGTGTGTGTCTGCGTTGTCGGGCGTTCCGCGAACGATGAGGCGGCGGTTTGAAAGCGTGTGCGGGGTCCCTGGTCCGCCACCCTCTAGAGTCGACTCGATCGGTGCATGTGCCGTTCCCGATGCTGTGGCCTGCAGAGCATCGTGCGCCTTGCCAGGAGCTGAGCTTCAGGAACAAGAACGGGGAAGGTGATCGGGTGACATCAACTGGTGGGGCGACAGTGTGCCGTAGAAAGGTTGGCAAGAGTTGCACGAGGTTGGATTGCAGGGTGCCAACCAGACGACGCGAATGGAACAGAGAGGAGATAGTACAACGTATGAGATATTTTGAGACGTTGTACAGGGCCAATAAGACGTAAGACAAGGATATCAGGAGTGTAACGGGAACTGAGTTGTTGGGGCGGGCAAAACATGATTCGACCCAGGTTCGAACTGAGGACCGCCTGTGAACAATTCCGAAGAATATGTTAGACAGAAGTGATAACCAACTACACCATCGAACCGATGTGCGAGCCGATGGGGAGAAATATACAATCCTCCAGCTCACTGGTACGCTGTGTATTTGAGTTTCCACATTCTGAAACTGTCTCTAGGTCGGTAAATTTGATCCAACACACGTAATGAGGTGAATTTTGGTATGAGTTTCAATTGAACGAAACCCCTGGGCTCCGATCTCATCGACTCCGATCAACCGCTCATCCTGTTCTCACACATGGAGCTAAATAACTAGGAAAAGACCAATACTCCCTGCGAAACCAAATGTACATCTGGAAATCGTGCGATAAGAAGCGCCCCCCTTCAAGCCAGGAATGGTGGCTGGGCTTGTAGATCCCGACGTGGAGCTTGGAGGGAAGCTGCTCGTCTGAGAGGTAACACCAGTCGTGCTCTGGGCGAGCGTCGGCACGACCACTGGTGTGGAGTCAATCGTCGACGACACCGAGGTTGTTGGGCCTGCAAAGCCAGTACCCGACAGGTCCGTAGTGTCTGGAAGTCCTGTGCCCGCGAGCGACGCGCCCGAGACGGTCGCCGAGCTGAGCGCGATGCCTTGCAGCTGGCAGCTCTGCACAAAGGCTGATAACGCACGCGAGACATCAGCCGAGCTGACAGACAGAAAGACGGGTAGGAGGCACGATCGGACGCACCGTTGACAGCCAGCTGCGCCGTGTCAGCTGTGAGCACGCCGTTGGATTGCGCGACGATGCAGTCGTAGCACGTGGCGAGATCGGCCACGATCGTTGCTGTGCAGAGAGTCGCCAGGGATGGGCTTTGTGACTGGGCGCCAGATATCGATATATTCGAGATCGGAGTTGAAAAGCTATGCTGCACGCACGGGATCAACGAGACCAGCGCACTGTGAAGAGCATCCCGATGTTGGGTCGATGTCGCTGAATTGACGTGGAACGAGCGGTGTGGAAGCTGTCGCGGAGACGAAGCCTGTATAGGGGGTAAGACGTAATCTGAAGACATGACATCCAGACTCAGGAGATTCGAACGCACCTGTATATGCACCCAAAATCAACGGTATCAGACTCAGCATTTCCGGGACCCGAGCAAGAGGGAAGAGGTGAAAGTTCATGCATTGTTAGGGACTCAATTTAAAGGATCGTGCTTGTCAACATCAGTATCAGTACGTCGGATTGTTACCAGGAACAGCTGTATGTAGATACCTATCTGTGGATTGACCGGGAAATTTGCAAGGTAATAATAGATCCACTCAATTGTCACCTCAAACTTTTGCCTCATCTTGTGAAATCAGTGATGCGTGAAATTATTTGCCGAAATCACATCCAGCTTCAGGTTTTTCCCGATCTACAAAAGGCAGTTTTTAAGCTATTGAGAAACGAGAAAAACAGACGAGTGGGCTTGACGCGAAGCGTGACTCGTGTCTCCGTTGCAAAGTATGTCTTGACAGGAGATGATAACTTGGGTTTCTTGCCGAGAAATCGTCCACTTGATGCATTGTCGCAAAGTTTGAGGCGATTGTGAGGCGAAAGTTTTATGCGAAAGTTTGGGACGACAATCAAGCGCGCCTACTACAGTCATCAACCGGTCAGTGATACGCAATCACTCACTGATACAGTCGAAAAGATCAGATATTTTTGAGCTATTGAGCGCTTATGGCTGCCCGGGAAAAAAGATCCAAATAGTAGTTGTCTTAATACATCTCGTATAGAGAGGATCTTATACCCATCTTGCAGAGAGGCCAACAAGAAATTCTTCTTTGGTAGTGGGTGAGTGTATCACTGCCAGGTTTGAAAGATGTGTCGACATTTTCCCCTTCAATTTCAATTGATACATACACATGACATTTCAAAATGTAAAAATATGTTCAGAGGTCTTATCGAGGCTAGGATTGTGCCTACAAGACGTTGTCAGTATTGTAGATCAAATCGCACCCATATGGGGAACACCGACCAGTCACATCACGCGATACGCGTCAGCACGTTTGTTGACGCGCCTGAGCGCCTCTGACCGCCACTCTCCCGTTACATCACGCCGGGACGCGCCCAATCCGAGTCCAGCAAGCAGCGCGTGGAGCAGGGGCTGCATGACTGCTACATGCAGCGGGCTGTTGACCTCTATCTTGCAGACCAGCAGCGGCCGCTTGCGCCCAAAGAGCGACGCAAAGGGACGCGATACTTCTGTGAAATCGTCGAGGAAGAGTTTCGGGCAGAGTACAAAAGATCCATTCACCTTTCTCACATGACTTGCAGCCGTTGGGCGAAGGGAAAACGCAGCCGGGCAAATGCCAATGCTGCCCGATCCTGGTTACTTCCAGAGGAGGCGGAGACTGTTCTGCAGTATGTTGAGGAGATGTCGATCAGAGGCTTGCCCCTTGATCACGAAGGTCTTCGGGAGGTTGTTGAGGGTATCTTGAGGGCCCGATTAGGTGATGATTTTCCAGAGGAGGGCCTGGGAAAGAATTGGACGCAGCGCTTCCTCGAAAAGCATTCGAAACGCGTCAAAACTTACTGGTCTAGCTCTCTTGATCACAAACGAGGACGTGCCGTCAATCCCGCAAACAACATGGAGTGGTTCCGTCTTCTGGGGGATACATTATCGGGAAAGATGGACTACTTGTTTGACGAGGATCTGGACTCACCACCGTCGAATGGGCCGCCTGATGGTTTTGTCCCCGTGCCAATTCTTGCGGAGAATATCTATGGAACCGATGAGAGTGGTTTCTTTGCAGCGGGAAATACAAAGAAGCGGGTGATCGGCAAGGCTGGGACAAAGACTCAGCATGTGCAGTCAGATGGAGGTCGAGAGAATACCACGGTCATCGCTACAATCTGTGCTGATGGGACAGCTCTCAAACCCACCGTGATTTTCAAGGGTCATGCGTATCAGTTGTCGTGGTTGCAAGATAATCCCACGGAAGCCAAGTGCGTCTACTGACCTCTCGACAATGCTCAGTTACCTTAACAGGACATTATTCAGCGTGACGTATCAGGAAAAGGGATGGACCAACCAAGAGATTACCGTGGAATATCTGCGAGATTTCGATGATCAGACACAGGAGAAAGCAGCTGGACGCACTTGCCTCCTAGTCGTTGATGGCCACAACTCCCGATACTCATTGGAGCTGCTCCGGTTGGCACGCTCCTTGCGAATTCACATCCTATGCTATCCCGCACACGGAACGCATGTCTATCAAGGTCTTGATGTCGTGATATTCTCACCACTCAAACGCGAGTGGACAAACGCAAAGCTGGAGTTCAGCCGCCGGGAACGCCAGCCCGTCAACAAGACCAATTTCCTCAAGATATATGGTCAGGCTCACCTGAAGGCCATGACGGAGACAAACATCAAAACTGCGTTTCGGAAAACTGGGGTTTGGCCGTTCAATCCCTCCGTCATCACTAGTGACATGATGGCACCGAGTTTGGAGACCTCGGTGATGAATGTCCTTCCCGTGCCACCCACAACACCGGTTCGTGCTATCAGCAACCTCATGCATCAGATGCACCACGGTCAGAAACGAGCTCGATCCCCAGATGACTTGGAGGAGGGCTCATCAGCCCGACCTGCAGCGTATCAGCGCGCTCTTCTCGCATCACTCGAGGACAGCATGCAGATGATACGCACCAGCAGCTCCGGTTACCTAGTCAACTCCTCGCCGATCCAGTCATCGGCACAACCCCCGACATTCTCTCCTACACCCATCTCCCCGCATGCTTCTCGAAAACGTCGATATGCCCGGCTTCTTGGTGCCACGCCAACAACTCCACTGGAACATGACATGCAAGAGGGTTTGAGGGAGTTGCTGGAGACGAACCAGTCCCAGAAATCCTCGTTAGTGACAATGCAGTCAAAAATGGTAATCCATACCACATATGTGAGCCGTGTTCAAGGGCAGTTGGAGGCAGAGGAAGAGAAAAAGAAGAAGAAGCGGAAAGGGCGCCTCGTGGGTGATGGGCTCCCACGCTTATTGACACATCCAGACTTCGTTCGACGTGTTCAGGCATCAAACGAGATCACAGTGCAGAAGGAGGCAGAGAGCGCACAGAGGAAGGAGACGCGGGAGGAACGCGAGAAGGCCCGTGTGGAGTGGAAAAAGCAGGATGATGTGCGACGGCATGAGAATCAGAGCTTGCATGCCATTTGGTTGGCAGATTGCAAAGCATGGGATGCAATGAAGGCTGCGGGACAGCGGCCTGCATCAAAACGTCCCTTATGGAAGGATCGGAAGCTTCTCAATATTCCCAAGCCGCCAATCTTGGAAGCATCTGGTCGGAAGCGTAGAAATCAGACAGCATCAGCACCCCGGGATGATTCGGATGCGGAGCCATCAGACGAAGGCGGAAGTGAGGGAGATGGCATGGATTTTGTTGATGAGGATGAGGAAGAGGAGGATGAGGAAGATTGAGAGGCTCGGGAGGACCATAATTCACTATTAATTAGATCACATGATCGTGTCTGACATCGGTAATGCATATCAGTCACATCATTGGACTGTATCAGTCAGTGGTTGCAAACAGGTCATTAGTTCAGTACTTATCCCCTCTACATAAATCGCAAAAATATTCAAGGGTACTCAATGGGCTTTTCAGGCCATTATCATAACATTTCTATCGAAATCGTGCCACATTGTAACATTATCCGATCTTATCACAACCACTGTATCACTGACCGGTTGATGACTGTACAGCTGTCACTGTGTCAGTCAGTCAAAAGTTCGTTCACGTCTCTGCGGGCAGGAACGTCCTTCGCTTGTCAACTTTGACATTGATTAGATGCTCCTTAACTTCGAACAGGAGCTTCAACAAAGAGAAAATATCCATGGGTAAGCACTGAATCGGCGCCCAAAGGAGTAGAGAAAGAGCGACGAGGTACTGCGATCACAATGAGACCACAACGCAAGGGGAACAGGAAAAAAGTGATTCGACCCAGGCTCGAACTGAGGACCGCCTGTGAACAATTCCGGAGAATATGTTAGACAGAAGTGATAACCAACTACACCATCGAACCGTGGGAAGCTGAATCGACAGTATGTATATAGACTGTCTCAACCATTAGGATATCCCCAAGATCGCACGAATCAAGGTCGTATTCGTGTAGCTTAGGCCGGAGAGCTGCAATTTACGGCACAATGATACGATTAGATGGTTGAATCTCTATCGAGGTCGCCTTTGCCTCTCATTTCTTCCATGCGGAGGGTAGCAGCGAACATTCCCAATCACCGAAAGACTCAGTCATGTGTGAGGCACTTATAGTTGCAGGAAATTCTGCCTACAAGATTAGATGACAGGATCGTGAACAGACTGCACAGATCGAACGAGTGACTTGGGCGGTCTTTTCCAGTGGTCAGTCTAAGTTACACGAATTAATTTCGGAGGGCCGCGACGATATGAACTACACATCGCTCTATGCGAGAAGGATCTTTACTCTTGGTCGTTTGCTTCAATCGGCATAGCCGTTCGGTGTGCTTACGTGTGGAAGAAATGTCGGTCATAGCTGGCCTGTCAATTCTGGGGCAGGTGGATCGAGGCTAGCAGTGATCAGCGGTGTTGCTTTGAAGAAGAAAAAAGACAGAACTCGCAATTTGGTTGTTTCAGCTTGGAAACGCTGAAACGAGCACTAGTCTGCGGAGTGGAACAGAGAGAACTCCCGGTCATATACGCATTGTGATAGTCGGAGAAGCAGCATGACCCAAGTTCAAGTAGCCCATGCTTCTCGGCGTCTGTGATCATGGCTTCGCAAGTGGTCCATATTGTGCGTAACCTCAATCTCAAGACATAAATACCTGGTGGTCAATGCGCCGCCTCTATAGTAGGTTGAGTGGTGTCCCCTCCAAGTATTTCGGAGCCTCTGACTATAGATCCTGGGCTTCTCCCTCGACGGCCGTAAGAGTATTATGGAGTTGTCTACTTGCGCGTAATGTCACAACTGCAGAGGTCTGGGACGTTGAGCGCTGAGAGCAGGTGCGAATACATTAGGTGGTGCGTCAGGTGTGTGAAACTACAAGGTGGATCTGGAGTAGATCCATCTGTTTTCACAGACTAGAGATGGTTTGCGGGCTGCAGACGAAGTTCCTAGATGAAACCAGTCTCTCCGGGTGATAAGTCAAGATGATGGAATGCCACGTGTTTCCTTTTTGGGCTATTCAGCGTGTGAAATAGCGACTGGCGCGAGTCTACAGATTCCCCTGCCGCGTGTGACAGGATACAGGGTCTGCCTTGAACGCTTTGTTACACGTTTGCAATGTTACGGCTATACGACTACACTTCGCCAGGTTCGCGCTCCTGAGTCGCAGCATTCGTGACGACAAACACCATCCGTGCCCACTCGTCCTCGCTCGGGTTTATCCACTTGTGGTTTGTTCCGCGCTGCACGATGATGTCCCCCGCGTCCACGGTTTTCGTCTCCCGCCCCTCCTCGTCGAGCGTCAACGTGATGCGCCCGTGCGTGACGATGGCAAGATCGAAGGTGTTTGTCCTGCGAGGGTGCTGTCAGGAACCGCAGTCGCGAGCAACGTGCGGTCAAGCAGACGCACCGGTGGAGAGGGCCTTGGGCACCGGGTGCCATGTCCATCACGCGGCTGAATCGTTGTGAGCAGCTGCGCAGACATGCGTCGTGCCAATCACCCACCAGGTCATCCCGGGCACGTCGAAGAGATCCTTGAGGCCGTTCCAGTTCCGACCGGCACGCTCCTCCGCGGCCCAATCTTTCGTGTCGCGGTTGTTGGCGGGCAACGACGGTACAGCGTAGACGAACGAGATGTTCGTGCCATTGGGGCGGGTGCTTACTGGCACGGCCCCGTCGGCGGTGAAGACGTCTGCGCCATTGTCACTCAGGCCGGTCACCACGCATCGGACAGGAGCGAGGGTTGGGGCAGACATGGTTGGGGAGCAGCCCACCACCAGGTGCTTTCTTCTCTTATACGTGTTCTACGCATCTGATAGCAGATCCGGGTACAGATTCGTCTCGTCGCAACAACAGTGCTATACATAGTCAGAATCACAGCCGTTCCAACGTCAACGGCATGGCAGGGCCCGCAGAACTCTCGGTCCATGGCATCTGGATGTTCGCCAGCTTCCATATGATCTCTTCCTTCGGGAGACTGAGCCGGAAGTTGTCGAGCAGAACACAGATCATCACTTCTGCAATCGGTGGATCAGCGAGTGCGCTCGGATCTGCGTGCTGCCACCTACTCATTTCCAACTGTGCGAACTTGATGCCGATGCAGGCGCGCCCGCCGCCGAGGAAACTCATCGTGCCGGCGTAGATGCTCGGCAGATGCGCGTTGGCGGCGCTCTTGGGCACACCGTTTGCCCACCGATCGGGTTTCCATTCGTTCGCGTCGGGACCCCAGATCTTCGGGTCGCGATTCGCCGCTGCGATCCCAATGTGCACGTTCTGGTTCTCAGCGACGGGAATCTCGGTGATGGTCTTGCCGTCAGTGCCGGTCAGCGGATAGAGCAGAGGAAGAACAGAAGCGGAGCGGGCTCTGAGAGGAGATGAGAGTCTTGTCGAGGCGAAGGATGCTGGCCACTGCTTACGTGCGAGTCATGAAGGTCACTGCGGCATGCAATCTTAGAGTCTCCCGGCAGACGTTCTCGAGGAACGGTAGCTCCATGAGCAAGTCGTATCCGAGCTCGCGGTTCCCGTGCTCTCTCTCCCATGTGTCCAGTGCATTCTTGATTTCGGCGCGGAGACGGTCTTGCACGTCGGGATAGATGCAGAGGAGGTGGAGAATGTGGGCGATCGTCGAGGAAGTTGTGTCGTGTGATGTGAAAACGAGCGTCGTCAACTGGGCCAGGACTTCTGCGTCGGGCATCACGTCTTGTGTCGAAGCGCCGTGCATGGCTCGCACTGGATGCATTCGTCAGGGACGCGCCCAACGGCTAGAGATCACAACTCGTCACTTACTCAGAATGCTGACGATGTCGCGCCCGTGTCCGACCTGTTCCAGCACCTTCTCGTCACCCATCAGCATCGCCTTCTTCTTGGACTCGAAGATCGCCAGCGTCGTGCTGTGCATCTCGTCGACGATGTCGCGCAGCTTGTGCAACCTACGACTGGGTGTGACGTCGACGAGCCAGCGGCGGAAGCCAGGTGTGCCGATCTTGAGGATGAACGGCAGAACTTGGCGCTCGATCTGCAGCGAGAAGATGGTCGGAATCAGGCCTCGTAGTGCTGTCCGGAAGGCGGTGTTGGGATCGCGGTCCTCCTCGAGCGCCTCGAAGGAGTGGCCGAGTCCACCCTGTCCGATGACCTCGAGCGCAGTCCTCATGATGAGATCGAGCATGTCCATTTCGGCGGGGCGGGATCTGGTCTTTACGTTGATGAGATGGACCATCTTGGGAGTAGCAGGGGAGTCAGACAGGGGAGTCAGGAAGCAAGTATGACGCGACTGACTTTGTTGGCGACCTCAAACACAGCCGGACAGAGCTCGCGCATGTTCTTGCTGGAGAAGATCGGGTTGAGGATGCGACGCTGGTTCCGATGGTGGTCGGTCACCGTCGAGAGCAGACCGTCGCCGAAGATGACGCTGTTGCCCCTGAGACGTGGATTGTGAGCTAATAGGTCAACGCGAAGATTTTGAAAAGTACGCACTGAACAAACATCTTCGTCTGCTCAAAGACGTCCTGGTCCTTGACCGTGATCTGGTGGAGCGCCAGCGGATCGGCAACGTACAAGTGCTCGTCCTGAACGACTATGATGAGCTCATTGCTGCATAAGACAATCCTGTGACACGAACCCCCATGATTCCGTTAATTTTGACGACGCTCCCGTAGTTCTGCGTGAGATCGTGGTGCCAGGACATCCCGGCGGGATTGTACAAGTGGGACAAGTGGCCTGTCCGCCACGATGTCGACGGTGGGCCAGGGAGGTTCCGTAGTGGAGCTTTGACGACGGCGCGGCGGTAGACGAGCCATGCCAGCCGGGACACACCCAGAACGGCGAGAACAGCCAGTGCTTTCCACATGTTGAGCTGGATATGGGGGGTGGGATTGTGTTCTTGCCCTGAAGTGAGAGTGCGTGAGAGTTTATGTGGGCTCGAAATGAGTCTAACCAATCTAGATCCCTAGCTTGGAGGGATGACGGCAAGGTGAATTGAGATTGAGAGGACGCTCTGATGGATGGAGAGCGTCGTAATATCTTCGTTTCACATGTTACATACATGTTGTCGAGGGTATGGAAGTCTGCAATCAGGCAAGCTGTGGTGTGGTGTGTAACAAACTCCTTTCGACCGCAAAGCGGAGCAGGAGAAGCACGACCAATTGCCGACCGGTATCGAAGCACTAGAGCACGCTGAACGATTCTTGGGCTAGCCGCGTGACACTAGACCCTGCAACTCCGATCAAATTCATAAATAGGCCATGTTCGCAATGTGATGGTCAGTCCAAGATGGACGAGCTGAGCTGGGCGATGGCGATCGAAGATCTCGATCGAGCGTTATGCATCGACGAACGCTTTGTAGCCGTTCTTCGAAGATGCCGTGATAACCGAGAGGGTGCGGCTGTCACACCGAGTGGGGGAGGAGGTCCACGAACGATCTATCCGATCGTGGCATGCCGCCCTCCCCGGGCAGCCCTGAATCACAGGCCTAATGGTTCGACTCGGCCATGTTGCCGCCAGAGGACATTGTTCGCTAAAGAAGACATCCCTTGTAACTAGAACTACTCTGCGGCGGATTTGGGCTTCTCCGCCGTGATTTCCTCCTCCATCTCTGGTGGCGCTGGCGACGACGGTTTCCGGAGGTTCATCCCGCCGGCCCATCCCAACCAGGTGTGCCTTGGCGCATGGGGTCCCCTCACGAGAAGCGCGAGCAGCTCCACTGCGGCGAAAACCACGCGGATGCCTGAGGAAAGCTTGTATCCGCCAGAAACATAGAGCTTGGTCCCGATGGCGGTTCCAGCGACCTGCCCCAGAAAGATGGATCCGACGAGCAGTGTGTTCAACCGCGCCCGAGCATCAGGGTCGATCCTAAAAAAAGATGTGAGGCAGATTTTTTGGATGATGCAGGACCAAGTACCCGAAAATCACTGCGGTCATCGAAACTTGGGTAGCTTGAGCGCCGATATCGAGAACTACGAATGCATTAGAAGTCGCCAGAGAATTCATGATTTTTCCCTTACTTATAGTCGCAAGAATAACAGCGGCGACGCTTTTCTGGGCTCCAAACGTCTCGATGATCTGAGACGCCAGCACAAGAGAAATCGCAACCAAGGTCGCAGCCCACGGGACAAGTTTGTCCACCGCCCGTCCGATAATGGGTGACATGGCGATTCCCGAAAGTCCAACGAGACCGAACATCCCGATGACCAAACTGCAAGATCTGAGGGCGAGGAACGACAGGATAGAATACACAACTCACGTCGAATAGTGGTATGGCGCGCCGTCGAGCAGGAACGTCATGGTCACCCAGAAACCCGAGAATATCGCTGCGCTACAGAAAAAGATGGCGCAGCCTTGGATCAGGATAGGCTCTGTCACTGCGAACTTCGCCATCGTTTTCATGATCTGCCAGTACGACAGGTTGGTGTTCTTTACCGGCACGGGGGGCGTGACCAGATAGAGGACGATGGCGAGAAAGAACTGGCCGCCGGCACCCATCCAGTACACATTGCGGTACGACGAATACTGGGCGATGATCCCGGCGAAAACACGCGCGATGAGAACACCCGTCAGCAGACCCGCGAGAACGAGCGCGATGAAGGTCGCGCGCCGATTTGCGGGGGCCAGATCTGCGGTGAGCGGGATCAGGATCTGCGATAAATGTGCGTGTGAGCGGTGCGAATAGATCGAGTTCGAAAATTCGCACCTGGGGCGTGACCGTCGCGATTGCCGTCAGAAAAGAAAGGATTTCAAAGACGATCAGGGATTTCGTCACTGCCAAACCGACAGTGAGGGCACCCGAAGTCACGATGAATATTAGAACAAGCTGTCGTCGTTGCAATATATCTCCGAGTGGCGTGATAAACAGCAGACCCGTCGCATATCTAGCGCGAGAAGTATCAGAAGAGAATACAGAGAGTCCAGACTCGAATGGCACTCGCCCAGCTTGGAGAAGAATGGGAATTCTCGAGACTTGGAGATCGTCGACTTTAAACGCCTGCGCAAGTTGGACTGTGAAGCGAGGTGAGATAGCCCCATTCGAGGAGCCGAGGCCACCGCGCACCGAGCAGGGGTTGAGAGTAGTACAGATTCATCGCTGCGTTGAAAATCGGTCGGTTTCAGAGCACAAGCATACTTGAGATCCATACCAGCTGAGAGTTCAGTTAGTATGAGGGTTTCCGTTACAAAAGCTGGGAACGCTCACTGAACGTGGCCGCGACTGCGAACGCGAGGACTCTGCCGTAGCCAATCTCACCAGAACTGCCCAGGTAGGCGCATCGAGGGACAGGGAGGAACCCGAAGTCGCGTCTCGCGGTAGCAGGAATTTTCGGGTCAGCCGCGAGATCGGGGCCGAGGGTTGATGGCATTGACTCAAACTCAAGGTGTCTGGGTAAAGGATGGGGGGGAAAGGAACGGCGTCAGTGACGGGAACGCCGAGAGAGCGCAGAGACTTTGGAGGATGGGACGTGGCGACGGACGAGTGCGTGCGTGACTCTGGAGTCTAGGTGCCACGGCTTGACACGTCCACCCGACCCATCTCGGCGCGAAGCTCCGCCCGCATCTGCGCCGAAGATTCCTTCCCGCAACCGATAACCCAATCTGATGGATGCGCGACGCGATACTCGACAACTGGACTTTTTTGCATGTTCTCATCGAGTGTATGCACGGCAGGTCCGCGATGTGGGTTTGTGAGAAATTTCCCTTTACGGAAAGTGAGCTGGTTCGACAGCTTCGTGTGGCACGTGCGCACCGTGCCGTACTACCCAGGTCCCTCCTCAGCGCTGCCGTCATCCTTGTGTCGTTTCTCCTCTCCGGTCATCGTTACAGCTGATTTCAGAGTAACACGGCATTCCGCATGCCTCGGAGAACCCATTACGGCGCTCAAGAAGTTCCAGAACTCATATGTTGCATGACCGGCCATCCGAGGCTTGACCGACTGGTCAAGCTGTGATGTTTTGCATGTGGTGCTTACGGCGCCCAGAGAGAGAACATGGAGCGACGAAACAACGCCGTGCATCCCACGGGACTCCTCAGGGAGATTCGGGTAGCACAGCACCAGGAAGGGACTTAAAAAACCCATTCAAAGACTGCGAACCCTACGACTCCACACCTCACCCTGAACCACCATGGGATCCGCTCCGTCGAAAGCCACTGGCCCTTACATGTCCATGTACCCCGCGCCCCCTCTCGCTCCCGAGAACGAGAAACTCTCTGCTGCTGCTGTTAGGCCTGAGCGCGAGCTCGAGGACCGGCTGCAGAACCTCACGATCGCTGCGAGTGCGCCCCGATCGCTCGATGGGGCACTCACCGCGTCGAACATCTCCACATGGGAGTCGACCGCCTCTGCGCCCGTGCACGCCGTGACGCGCGCCGTCCTGGCGCGCACCGATGTCAATGCGCTGCAGCGCCGCGAGGCGCACCGCGCGGACCACCACACGTTCAACACCGTGCTGGACTTCAAGACGGGGCCGATTGCGAACCAGCGCGGCAGCGGGCGCTGCTGGCTGTTTGCGGCGACGAACGTGATGCGGTACCCGGTCATGCGGAAGCTGAACCTCGACAAGTTCGAGTTGTCCCAGGTCGGTGGTTGTGGCACTGCGTGATCAGAGGACGAGTGCTGATGATGATGATGCCGCAGAACTACTTGTACTTCTACGACAAGCTGGAGAAGGCGAACTACTTCCTCGAGCAGGCGATCACGTTTGCGGACGTGCCGCTGAACTCGCGGCTGCTGTCGCACCTCTCGACCGACCTCATCAGCGACGGCGGGCAGTTCGACATGCTGATCAACCTCATCGAGAAGCACGGGATCGTGCCGCAGGACGTGTACCCGGAGTCGTTCCACTCAATGCTGTCGGCGCCGATGAACACGATCCTGAAGACAAAGATCCGCGAGCACGGGTTTGTGCTGCGCCAGGCGGTGCGGCAGCTGCGCGCGCAGGGGCTCACTGACGAGTCGGTGCTTGCGGTGACCCGAGCTCAGAAGGAGAAGCTGATGGCGGAGACGTACCGCATGCTCACGGCGATGCTGGGTGTGCCCGTGCTCGCGGACGAGGCGTTCACCTGGAGCTACCACGACAAGGACGGGAAGTACGGAGAGTGGACGGGCACGCCGAAGCAGTTCGCCAAGACGTTCCTTGGATCTCAGGTCTCGGAGAGCATCTCGCTCATCAACGACCCGCGCAACGCCTACAGCGAGGCTTACACTGTGACTGACATGGGCAATGTTTGGGGTGGCCGACCCGTCGTTTGTATGTTTGGTTCCCTTTCAGCCCATGCCGTGGATCTCACCCATCGTTGTCAGACGTGAACACCAGTGCCGAGATGCTCAAGTCCCTGGTTGTGAAGATGATCAAAGCCGGGGAGCCTGTGTTCTTTGGCTGCGATGTGCTGAAGCACGAGGACCGGTTCGAAGGCTTCCTCGACCTCGACCTCTTCGAATACGAGGTTCGTTCCGATATGAGACTCTTCCCGCCACACACTGATGCATGCATGTCTTGCAGAAAGCGTTCGACATCAAGTTCCCGATGAACAAGGCGCAGCGTCTGGAGGTCGGCGAGTCGATCATGACACACGCGATGGTCTTCACGGGCGTGCACCTCGACGAGCAGGGCCGCGCCGTGCGCTTCAAGGTCGAGAACGCCTGGGGCACCGGCGTCGCGCGCCAGGGCTGGTTCACGATGGGCGCAGACTGGTTCGAGCAGTGCGTTTTCGGTCTCTTGGTTCCTGGTGTCGTGCAGCGACTGACATGGGTTCGGGCAGGTGGGTGTACCAGATTGTGGTGCCCAAACGCTTCGTGCCGGCGGAGTTGGTCAAGGCGTTCGAGACGGGCCATCGCACGGAGTTCAAGCCCTGGGACCCGATGTGCGTGTGCTCGTGTGCCCGTGTTTCTTTTTCCGTGTGTGCTGACTGGTGTTGTCCAGGGGAGCGTTGGCTTGATTCGCTTATATTCTATCTACTTTTTTGTATCCATGCGAATGCCAATGTGTTGTTATGTCTTCAGAGCGCGTTTGATCTTCCGGCCCTAGGGGCGATTGGTCTGCTCGGCTTGATGGCTTGATGACTGAAGTCATTTGCATAGCATTAGGACCATTCAAGAATTGGTGGTCAAGCCGTGGTGGTTAAACTCAACGAATGGAAATGTGAACTAGTTGCTTTTTTTCCGACTAGCCTCACGGAGAGGGAAGCCCCATCACGAGCAACGTGAGGAGCACTCTCAGCGATGCCTAGTGGTTTCACGTAAAGTTTCTTGATACGCGGCTCGTTCCGAGCATTGGGCCGTTGGCATCATTCGTCGAGTTTGGCGACTACGGCTTGACCACCAACTATCGAGTGGACCAATTTCTGGCCGGCGAGTCCCCTACTTCGGGCTCTACTGGAAACATTCTGAGATTACAACTCTTCGGCCAATCTCAGGTATTGCATAGAATCGATTAACAAATATGTATTTTTTCTCGATATCGAGACTCATTCCATTGACTGTGAATCTGTGCAGAGGATGCGTGCATATCCTTTATTTCATCAAGTTCCAGGATGAAGACAGTCCAAATTTCAGGCATCCACTATCGAAACTGGCGCAGCCAATAGGAGTCTCCAACGATTCGAAAAGAGACATGACTGCTTATAGGCTTTGAAAGCTAAAAGCATGCACGATCCCTCCGCTTTTACATCGAAAGAGGTTTTAAGACACCGGCCGGAGAGACTACCGGGGGCCCGTGCCGGGCGTGGCCAGAGTCTCGTGAGCTCCCTTTGGGGATATCTGAAAAGGTTAATCGAACGGCTGGTTCCCCTGATTCTAGACCCCCGAATTCGAAGACGGCATACATACCGCCACCCCACATCTCGCCACCTCCGTGTCATCGGCGGTGCACACTGCCGTGACTTCGGGCACGATGGACTGCGGCGGAACGCGTCCCCGCAGTCGTCGATCTGGGCCACACATCGACTTGTTTGTAGGGGGGGTGACTTTTGACTTGCCAGGCAGCGGAGGGTGATGACCGCGACGCGTCACGCAGAGAAAATGAAATCCGAACACGCCCAGACCATTCGCACTGTCGATATTAGAGAGAGGACTGTCGAGCTGCGGCTCGGCAACCGTCCCGACACGGAGGTGAAACAGGACAGCGACGATGCAGGAAGAGAGTCGTCCAAGGATACGCTATCCGAGCAGACGAGCGTGTTTCAAAGCAGGAGGGCGACGCGGTTGGACGCGTGGAAGGGAGCGGGACTGCGTCCGTAGAGATTTGGCCTGAGTATTCCAGATTGGCGCGTCACTGCCGATGCGGTGTATGGTGCATGTAGAGCTTGGGGGGACGCGTGCTGGCCCGTTGGTGATGCTATCTCCAGGCACTTCAGGAGGGGACGAATGATTATGAATATCTTGACAAAGGCAAGAAGCTCATATGCACTAACAGCCGAATGTTCAATCCCAAGCCTAATGTATTCAGGCGATAGGTCTTAAGATATGCATGTGATATCTTTGAGCAGAGATATCAATATTTCTTGGGGTGCCAAGTAATGGAGGTCGAGGACGGAGAATGCCGATGATTCTGATCCGATCCACCATCGCCTGTTCTTTCCTCAACCGACCACAATCTCCGTAGAGTGTGTTTCTGGCCCTTGGTCTAGTGAGGCTATGATTTTTTGATTTCTCCTATTGTACAACAATTCGCCATAAACTATTTCTTCGCCAATCCCTCGCGGACGACCTCGTCGACACAGCTGACCACCACGTCGACGATCGCCCTGACTTCGTCTGCGGTGATGTTGTACGCGGGTGCGAACATGATGTGGTCTCCCTGCGTGCCCTCGACATTCGCGCCACCGACCATTCCCATGATCATGAGCCCGGCCTGGAAGCACCGCTCCTCGACCACAAACGCGAACCGCTTCCCGCCCAGATCGAGCGAGCTCACATCAAACTCCACAGCCCAAAACATCCCCGCGCCGCGGATCTCGGCCACGTAGTCCCGCGCGAGCGCGCCGTCCGCCGCGAGCCCCTCGCGCAGAAGCGCGCCGAGCAGGTCGCCCTGCACGGTGCAGTTCTCGAGCAGCTTCTCCTCGACGATCACGCGTTGCACGGCGAGCGAGGCTGCGGAGCACAGCGGATGCGCCTGGTACGTGTAGCCGTGCTGCCAGACACCGGAGCCCTCGCTCAGCACGCGCGCGACGCGCGGCGCGATGAGCACGCCGCCGATGGGCGTGTAGCCCCCGCCGAGACCCTTGGCGACGGCTTGGATGTCCGGCGAGACGCCGTCGGCGACGCGCTCCCACGCGTGCAGCGTGCCCATGCCTGGATTGGGGCTGTCAGCGGGGGGAGATGGGGGGAGGAGAGGGGGGTACGCACGGCCCATGCCGCACATGACCTCGTCGAGGATGAGGAGTGCGCCGTACTTGTCGCACACGGATTTCACGGCGGCAAAGTACCCTTTCGGGGGGATGACGACGCCGGAGCTGGCTCCACCGACGGTCTCGGCGACAACTGGGGGTGTGCGTCAGGTCACTCTTGTGTTGTTGCAGGACGAGCTGCTTACAGGCGATGACAGTGTCTGGCCCTAGCTCGACGAACTTGGCCTCGAGCTCGGCGCGCAGGCGCTCAACGAACTGCGGCTCGGACTCGCCCTCGCGCTGGTAGCGCCGCGCGTAGGCGGGCGACACGTGGTGGAAGCGCTTGCTGTCGAGGATGTCGTCGTACGGCGCGCGGCGCGCTGCGTTCCACGCGACGTTGAGCGTGCCGAGGGACGCGCCGTGGTACGACGACCTGCGGCCGATGTAGTTCACGCGCTGCGTCTGGCCGAGTTCCCAGAAGTACTGTGGGTGTGTGCTGCGTCAGAACGACCCGGATGCAGATGGAGATGCCGACGCGGGGCTGGTCACCTGGCGAGCGGTCTTGAGGGCGCCTTCGACGGCTTCGCTGCCCCCGGACGCAAAGGCGATGTGCGCAAAGGCACCGTGCGACCTGTCGATGATGTTCCGTGCGAGCATCTCCGTCGGCGCGTTCGTCAGCTGTGTGTGGAACGTGACTGCGAACACGGCGTCGGTCAGCCACACGATCTAGGCACGCAGCCGGCTGGCACCACCCACAGTTCAGCGTCCCCGCCTGCTCGCGGATGGCCTCGACGACGGCCGGGTGGCCGTTCCCGATGCAGACAACGGCCGCCCCGCCGATCGCGTCCGTGATGCGGCTGCCGTCCTCGAGGTCGTAGTAGATTCCCTGCGCTTTCACGGCCAGCGGCGGCGTCTTGTACGTCTTGTGCAGCACAGCAGACTTGCTGAAGGACCGGAAGCTGGCGATGTCTCCCATGGTGCAGTGGATTTGGATTTGGATTTGGGTGGGTGTGGGTTTTCCTGCCTCGATTCCCCCTCTCCTTACATATCTCGCACAGACGACTGGGAGTGACGAGGGTGTGATCCTCCCCATTCCAGGATCAGATTTCGAGCCACCGTATCAACATGTGATTCCCTTCTCATACATAATGAACTTGTTGGCAAGCGGAAGTAAGACATTTCCTGCATTCGACGCGACTCGAGAACATGAGCGCGCGTAACTTACGAGAGAGTTCCGCCGATTCCGATTGCGATTGTGATTCCGATTCGGGATCTGAACCGGCTCGAGAGCGCGCGCGGCGTTTCGCCGGGTCGACTCGGTTCTCGGGGTGAACTTCAGGGTGACATCCTTCTTGATGGAAATCGTCGATCTGGAGATCGCTCCGTGATCCGAACCCGTGAGCTGTAAATTATATCAAGTGAGTGTTGTGCGGAACGCGTGATCTCGACAGTGAGGATGCTCGGTGTATTGAAAATGCTATCATGTCAGTTGAGGATCTCTATCGAGGCTGGGCCCGCGGAGACTTGCCCGGCCCGGCGTCAGTGATCCTAGGAGTTCGGTGTTGGTCTTGGAGAATTTGAAGCGGCTCCGGCGCAGTCAGTCTACAACCTCTCCCCCCAGCTTTCTACCTACCCTCCCATCTAAGCTCTAGACAATGTCGAACAAAGCTGGAGGAATGCACGTCTCGGTGTTCATCGTCGCGCTGCTCACCATCGTGCGCCTCGCTCAACTGGTGGTCGGAACGTGCTGCTGATCATCCGCAGGGCTCGTGCATGTCTCTGTTGACGAAATACCAAGCGAGTCGTCGAGGCTATGTCGACAAGAACCGGCTGATTTAACCCCCCGCGCAGGATATGCAATGCGTTGCGAACTGCGACGACGGAGACGATCCGGCTACGCGCGTGATTTACGAGCAGCCCGTGCTGCAGACTGTCTTTATGTTCTGTGAGCTCCGTCGTTTAACGATCATCTGAACAATGCTAACCACGCTGATGCGATCCCAGGCGGCGAGATACTGTGTTGGTGGAGGCGCTTGAGCCGCGGGACCGAGGCTGATGTTCGCGACAGGTGTCCTTCCGACGGTCTACAGCTTCCTGATGGGGCGATTCGCGCGACAGAACAACGACGACTCCTCCAACACTTCCCGGGAAGGCGCGGTTCGCCTGGTCGAGGACGATACGGGTGGTGCCGCGGGCATCGCCAAGCCTGCGATGTCGTACAGGCGGTTCCTCTGGTTCTGGATGCCGGCGTCGTGTGACTTGGTTGCGACCACGGTGAGTCTGATTCGGGGTGTCGTGCGAGGGGTGCGCTGACCACGGGAACGAGTGCATGAACATGGGGCTCATGTCCCTGCCCATCTCGATCTTCGAGATGACGCGGGGGTCGATGATCCTGTTCACTGGTCTGTTCGGCGTCATCTTTCTCGGGCGCCGGTTGTTTGTGTTCCAGTGCGTCTCCGGAACCGTTTCTTTTTTGATCCGCGGATTATGACGGGGTACATAGATGGAGCGCGCTGTTCCTCGTCGCGCTGGGCGCGTTCTTCATCGGCTTCAGCACGCAGCTGAAGAAGTACCTCGCCTCCAGCGCTGGTTTCACCGAGACGAACTACGCCGCGCTGATCGTCGGTGCGTGGCCCCTCGTTAGCAGCCAATCTTATCTTATCACATGGCAGGGATCATGTTCATCCTCACGGGCCAGGTCTTCACCGCGCTCCAGTTCACAATCGAGGAGTGGCTGATGGCGACCTACTCTGACATCGACTCCTCGCTCGTCGTCGCGGGCGAGGGCGTCTTCGGCCTGCTCAGCGTCCTGACGCTCGTCCCCACGCTGCGCGCCACGCACCTCGTTTCGTCGCCGTACTTCGACCTCGCCGCGGGCTGGGCGCAGACGACGAGCAACCCCCACATTTGGCGCGCGGCCATCGGCCTCACGATCACGATCGCGTTCTTCAACTACTCCGGCGTCAGCATCACGCGCCGCCTGAGCGCGACGAGCCGCGCGCTCGTGGATGCGTGCCGCGCGCTGATCCTGTGGACGGTCAGTCTGGTGCTGGGCTGGGAGGCGCTCAGCTGGGTCGCGTCGCCGCTGCAGATCCTCGGGTTCTCGTTGCTTGTGTGCGTGGTTGCTTGGTTTCTCGGGTTTCGTAGACTGTGTGTTGAACGTTTTTTTTTGCAGGTATGGGACGGTATGTGGTTGCATTTGGGCTGTGACGTTTTGTATTCTGAAGCGTAACCCTGCGTGTCAAAGCTCCTGTACGGCGGACTCGTGCCGGTTCCCTTCCGCCGCGGTGTTGTCTTGGAAGGGCCCGAAAGCGCGTAGATATATCTTTTTAGGGGTTTCGAGGGCTGTCTGCTCTTCGAGCAGTCTGAATGAAATTGGAATTTGGATTTGTTGACATGTCTGTGATATTGGTTTCCGCGAGTCAAGCCGTCCTAGGGATTCAAGATGTGATTTGAGCGATTTCTTCGTAAATGACAGGCAAACAGACGACACTCAGCTTCCCCGTGCCTCGCAAATGTGCTCTTTCGGTGAAAAATCAGAGTTGGAATAATCGGCCGCAATATGACATTTTTCAAAGCTGCTGCTTCGTAAAATAGCCATGCATAGAAACGCAAGACGGGTGTCACCAGTGTGCGATTCCATAATGTGGCGTTGCGGTGCGAGACAGACAAAAGGGCAGTTGATAAAGGGTCACAACGGGATCCTCACGTGAGTTATGTTCATTGCCGGAAAACAAGGCTCTGATTCAAACGAATGTAACAGTTTTGATTTTGGATGACTAGCACATGTAACCCTAAAGCCAGCCAGACACGACACTCTAAAGACTTCTTCGCTAGTTTTGCTCGCTCTGCGGGACTTCCCAGAGCGTTTTTGGCAGGTACGCCGTGGCGCCGAGGGCCAGCGCGGAGAGCACGACCATGACCAGGTACACGAACGATCCGCCGAGGATGTTCTTCTCCAGCGACAGGGAGAAGAGCGAGGTCGACGCGACAGGGCCGATGGCACGCACGACGGAAATGCACGTCTGTGCGATCCCGTTGGTGGCGCCGAGCGAGTGCTGGTTCGGCGCGGCCGCCCGGACGTAGATGAACGCGCAGCCTGGATGCAAGGTCAGTTCCATGAACATTTCCGGCGAAAAAGAGAGAACGGACTGAATCCCATGTCCATGATGATGTACAACACCATCTGCAGAACCAACTGCACCCACGTCAAGCCATCAACACGGTCCGCCCGCAGCGCCGACAGATTCATGAGCGGGAAGAGCAGGAACATGGGCACGAACGTGCCCATCGCAGCGACGAAAACGTTTTTGGTCCCAAAGCGGTCGTACACGGAGGAGAACGCCGTGGCCTGGTAGATCCCGCTGAACAGCCCGAATGCACCGAGGCACAGACCGACGACAGCGGGCGTGAATCCCAGGCCGCCGAGGGTGATGGGCATGGTGTAGAACAGCGGCTGCAGCGCGCGCAGTGCGATATCGAGCAGTGCGAGCAGGGAGTAGTTGGACACTGCGGTGATGACACGGGGAGTGAGCAGTTCGCGGAGCGGGAGGTCCTTGTGCTCTACAGCTGCTCCGTCGGAGGTGCCGGCACGGCGCGGTTTCACCGTCTGCGTTGGATGCGTCAGAAAACAGATCAGATGGGGACAGCAGATGTGCTGCTTGCCTCTTGGAGGAAGAAGAAAGCCAAGGCCCACGAAAAGATGCAGTAGAAAGCAATCACAAAGCACGGCAAAGCGTAGGGGTACGTTTTCCAGAACTCAAATTTCCCAAACGTGTTGGGGTAGTTTTCGTATGGGTTGGCAAGGAGTCCTCCGATCATGGGACTGTGCATTCTCCGTTAGAGCACTCGTCAAACCAGGACAGCCAGACGTACCCGATGGTAGCACCCGTAGCCCAAGTCACAGGCATCAGCGCCATGGCCTGTGCGATGTTTCCCTCTCCGAGTTCGCCCATCATGCTCTTGATCACGCCCACGTTGCCGTTCAGGAGGCCTGCGAGGCAGCGCGAGACCACGATCGCCCAGTACGACTTGGACATCCCGAACGAGATCATCGAGAATGTCAGGCCGAAGAGGCCGACCAGGAGAACGGGCTTGCGGCCGATGCGGTCCGAGAGGCGGGACCAATGCAGGACCGTGAACGCCTCAGTCACGAAGAAGAGCGATTCCTTGCCGGGCGTCAGTGCCTGCGCGGTGTATCGCAGGAGGATGGCTCACGATGAGGCCGGCATAGTATCCAATCTTCTCTGGGTCGCCCCCGGTGATGGGGAGTTCTCCAACGAGCTGCGGGGTTGCGTGAGCGGACCCTCATCCCCAGACGACGGACCCAAGCGTACCTTGTTCACGAATGGGTATATAACCTGTGATGCGAGCGGCTCGGCGAGCTGCACCCAGAGCAGGATGAACAGCTGGAACTTGGGAAGGGGGGTGTGCTTTGGGGCAAGCAGTGGGGTGTTTTCGGACGCTGTAGAGCCAGTCATGGTTCACAGGTGAGTGGGGTGTTAGTCTAGAGCGAAGATACGAGGTGGGGAGGATAAGAGGGAACAAGGGAGCGAGAGACAGAGGGCTTGAGGGTATGACATGGAGAGCGATGAGTTAGAAGCCACAATCACGTGCTGCTGAGCTGGCTGACGATCCTGATCAACCCTCCGACCGGGCTTAATTCGGTGACCGGCTTAGTTTCTGTTCATTCATTTCGAAATCCCATGCCAGCCTGCGTTCGAGACACTGTGTCTTCGAGACGAGCGCAACTCGATATGTCGCCATGCCGTGCGGGAATCGGTCTTCTCGCGTCAGGGACGACTCCACCGCGGCATGTGTCGTAAGCAGCGCGAGTGCCGTGCTACCGGGGAGATCGGAAGAAAAGTGTAGCAACATTTTACATCTTCTGGTGCGGAGTTGTGACAGCCCGCCGTGATTGTGATGTAGGAAGCTGATTCTCATTAGGGCGCTTCGACGTAGGGACATCACTTGCGTTCATGGACGCTCAGTGTGCGAGGGCAGCTTTACCCAGGCGAAATGGCCGCACAGAGGCAATAGGACGATCCTAGGCTCCTCCAAGCCAGTTGCCAGCGGATTTCACGCGTCTGAGTCAGGCGTTTCTGCCTGATTGGTTCGACGACTCGGAGTGTGATTTGCAGCAGGAGCCGCATCGGAATGACACACACGTTGGACCGGGAACCGAAAAAGGAAAACGGGGCGTGGAATGTTCCTGTTTTCTTCCTGCCAGTGGTTTGGAACGTCTCCTAGTTGCAAGTGCCAGACGTGCATCGCATGGAAGACTCCGAAATGACTAAACCTTGGGTGTTTCTTTCCAGATCATTATATGTGTATCTGGCTTCTTTTCGCGCTCGGCGGCACGAATTTCATATTCGGACATCCCAACATTCCTGTCTCGATCCCACGTTTTCGGCAGTATGCTTGCGTTGGAAACTAAATTGCGAGAGCCTCCATGTTAGGATCTCGAGTCACGCTCTTCGGGCCGCCATGCGGGGGGCTTTTGACAGTGTCTTGGAAATGTTCGGCGGCGCTTACGTCCACAATTCAGTAACCTGGCGAACTCGCATCGACGATGTGCAAGGGCACATGGGCCGCCGGCGGAGCTGCGTGCATCTGTCGAAAATACCTCCTTGCCAGCGGTGAGCCGGCTCAAGAGTGAGGTAGATCGGCATTTGTCGTTCTCCGTTCTCCGTTAGGACAGAACGAAAGTATTCACGATCTACGAACCCTCCCAATCTCTGATTGCATCTCCAAGATGGGTGTTACGGTCTTTCTTCATGGAATAATGTGGTTCATACGCCGTGCATTGAAACAGCTCCGCGGCCTTGGTTGCTGACATATGGTTCATGGAAATACGCCTGTGGCTTTTTCACGGATCGCATGAAGCCCAGAAGTAATGCGAACGAAAGATCTCTGCCCGAGCACTCGGACAACAGCCAGATCGGGGCGACACCGAGCCGCCGCTCTGCGCGATGCTGGAATCAGATCATGTGCGGCCTTCCATTGCCTACTGGCTGAATTGCAGTTGAAAAAGATTAACAACGGCTCCACATGATTCGTCCGCGGCGGTGCAGCTTTTCTCCGCAGGGAGACGACTTCTGTTGCCGACCCAGAAGACCTATTGCTTGCTTACTTCATCGCTCTTAGAACGCATGGAATAGAGTCTGATGCTAGTTCGGTGCTTTACGGACGATGTACCTGCAGATCTGTCTTAAAGCTGGAATGATACATTTGCCGCTATATACACCAGGTCCCCTCACTTGCTACCGACCAGACCAGACTAGACCATCCACACGGCATGCAACTCATTACCGGCCCCGTTGTTGCTCCAGGCCGTCCTCAACACACTGATCTCGACCCCAGTGTGACCTCGGTGTACCCGATGACCAGGGCGCAGGAAGGCATTTGGATGGCTTACTCTGCTCAGCCCCAACATACGCTGTACAATCTGACGATGAAATTCACCCTGGACGCGTCGGACGCCTATTCGATGGAGAAAGTTCTTGCCGGTGAGAGAATGCGGCCCTCGAGTCCCTGACTGCGCACTGAGCATATTCTCCGCAGGCATCCAGACTATGACCGCTCGCCACGGAATACTCCGGTCCACCTTCCACGGCAACAAGTCGGTGTTGCCGGTCCCATTCGTGGCTGAGTGGGATAGCCAGTCCTCGCTGCCCTCTGTCCGATTCGTTTCGGAGCCGAAGTCCCCTCTCGCCAAAATGCACCTACAGAAGCTGCTCCACCAGGCTGTGGCCTTGTCGGACGAGTTTGCTGTTCGCTGGATTGTCGTCAAGTTTCAAGGCGCGCTCGAGGTCTATGTGATTGCGCATCATATCGCCTTGGACGGAACCAGCATGAGTGAGCTCAGTGGGGAGCTCCTGGGTTTACTCGACGGCAAAGTCGAGGAGAGCAAGTCGGTGACCGAGAGCTTTCAGAAGGCTCATATGATGGAGGTGTGTTTTGTGATCTCCTGTCATTTTTTTTATGAATCTCAACTTGTGCAGTCTGTGTTCAGGGGCTCTGGCGCCTTCCAGTTGGCCAGAGAGTTTTGGCTCTCGCAAAGCCGGTCCACTTCGTCAATCCAGTGGAAGGGTCTCCCGAAATCATCCGGATCTGAGAACTACCGTGAGATTTCGAGATGGTCCGAGTTCAGTAAAGACGTACGGATGTTTCTTCCACTGTGTCCAGGATTGTTTACTCACCGCATCATACACACAGGAACTGGCGCAATGGAGTGCACGGCATCGGACGTCGTGGTTCAGAGTCGCACTAGCCGTAGTCGCGCTCCTCACCCAAGCGCACTCAATCCCAGGGTCATCCCGTGACCAGACGCTGACCGTGGCATTCGGCGGCCGTCCCAAGGGCCTTGATCGAACCGTGGGACACTTCGCCAACGCGCTCCCGATCCGCGTCCCCGTGACTGAGCTGATCCGATCATCGTCCACCATCACCTTCGACGCGCTGCTCCGCCTGCTTTCGACCACCGTGTCGGCTGCGAAGAAACATGAGCGCTTCTCGTTCACGGACCTGTCGCAAGCGTGCCTCGAGGAGGGCTGCATGCCGCCGCGGGCGCAGGTTGCTGTGACGCTGTCTCCGAAGCTGGAACGCGAGGAGTGTGAGCTGTACCCCGTCGAGGGTCCATATGATCTCTTCTTCTGCTTTTTGGAGGGCGCTGATAGTGTCTCTCTCGGGGTACATGTTTCTGATGCCGATTAAACAGTGATTCTGACCAGCTTTCCTCAGGTCATCTACGACCCGACTTTGTTCGATCAAAAGTCCATTGCGTCTCTCAAGGTGGACTTTGAACAGATCGTGACCCAAGCCATGGCGGAGACACCGTTCGATCTCAAACCGCTCCTGGATAGCCGTATCCCATGTCTTCTGCCGACCGTCGACCCCACCGATCTGGTCGAGGTCAGCAAGCGCCGTTTCCATGTCATGTTCGAGCACCAGGCCGCTCGCAACCCCGACGCGCTTGCCATGGCTTGCGCAGAGAGAGAAGAGTCCATGACGTATGGAGAGATGAATGGGCGCGCGAACCAGATGGCGAATGGTGAGTTTCCTGTCATCCGCGTCTTTTCGCGTGTCTCATGTCTTCGTAGCGCTGCGTCAGTTGGGAATGGGCCGCACCAATGTTGTACTCTTGCACTTGCAGCGGGGACTCTCTACCCTGTGCTGGATCTTGGCCGTCCTCAAGGCCGGTGCGACATATGCCATCGCTGATCAAGGCCACCCTCTTGAACGGACGCGAAGTGTCATGACGGTCGCCGAACCGGACCTGGTTGTGGATGACGGCATGGGTGTCGATGTTGGGTTCTTCTCAGGGACTGTGAAGACCTTGCGCACGCACACTTGCTCTCTCGACGGGTTCTCGAAAGATAATTTGAACGATGTATCGCAAGACGAAGATCTAGCGTACATTGTCTTCACTTCCGGTAGCACCGGTATGCGACAATCATCTTTTCTACAGACGTTTCTTGCTTAACGTCCCGCACAGGCCAGCCGAAAGGCGTCGAGATCTCCCACAGCAACCTTTCGAATTGGATCGCTTCTGCTCACGGGTCGGGATACTTCGCCATGGGCCCCTTTTCACGTGTCCTGCAGTTTGCGACCTTTGCTTTTGATGCAGCTGTGCTTGAATGGTCCCTGGCGCTTTCTCTAGGATCCAATTTGTGCTTTGCCAATACACCCCAGGCCCTGATCGGCGACTACCTCGCGGACGTCATCGACAAGAATCTCGTAACTCATATGCACCTCACTCCCAGTGTGCTTGGGACTCTGCCGGCGTCGAGAAGGTTGCAGAGCCTTGAATGCATCAGTGTAGGCGGAGAGATGGTCCCGGATAACCTTATCGAACGTTGGAGAACGAGAGTGACCCTGCAGAATGCTTATGGGCCGACTGAAGCGTACGTCCGTGTCCTCTCATCTACTGACCGGCGTCCTGACGGAGTCTTTGCAGAACGGTCGTCATGGCTCACCGACCTCAGCCCAGTTCCCCAGGCGAGGTTGCGCCCTCCGCGGCGAACATCGGCAAACCGCATTCGCCCATGGAGGTGTTTGTGTGCAACCCTTCGTTCGACCGACTGCTGGCTGTCAACGAGATCGGAGAGGTCTGTCTGGCCGGCCCGCAACTTGCCCGAGGGTGCGCATACATTGCAGTTGTCTCGGAACATTCAGACTGAAACCGTCCTGTTTAGTTACCGTAATCGGGCCGATCTTACGAGCGAACGATTCGCAGTCCATCCCCAGAATGGCAAGCGGATGTACAAGACGGGGGACCGCGGCAAACTGTTGGCCGATGGCACCGTGGTCTTGATGGGCAGAATGGATCGCGAGCTGAAAGTCCGAGGGTACAGGTGAGTCGATTGGCTCAAGGACCGGTGCTTGGACTTACGGCAACGTTGAGGATCGACCTGGATGACCTGGAACGCACCATTCTGGCTGTGATGCCGTCCATCATCAGCGTCTCGGTTCAGTCATCTCCGTCGGGCAACGACTTGTGTGTGTTCGTTTCGCCACAAACTGTTGATGGGACCGAGCTGAAGCGGCTCCTCGCGCTTCGGGTCCCGAGTTACATGGTTCCGAGGAATGTGTACTGTCTGCAGCGGCTGCCCTTGAACACGAGTGACAAGACGGACCACAAGGTGATCAAGCTGCGCATGGATGAGCTGATTAGGGACGCCAAGTTCCCTTCCGGAGGCTCTACACCCGTCAGCACGAGCTCAGACGAAGACGACCTGAGCTCGATTGAGGATTCCAGCCGCAGCTCGACCTTGGCAGATTCGACCTTGCTCCAGGCCGACGAATCGATGTCTCATCAGGAACTGACCAATATCTGGATCGAACTCCTCGAGCTGAAGTCAGCGCCCTCTGGGAAGAGCAGCTTCTTCGATCTCGGTGGGAACAGGTAACACTCATCCGTCTTTGCCTATCGTCCCATGTCTGACGTCTCTCAGCTTACTCGCGCAGACGCTCATCGAGAGGGTCAGGGGGCAACTCCCTACGGGGTCCTTGACGGTGTCTGTTTTGGACCTTTTCACCTACCCGTCGTTGGAAGACTTCATTCCCTTCGTCCAGAGTCGTGCTCCGCCCAAAATCGCAAGTCCTGTGGTCAAGGGCACTCGGATTTCCAGGCAGTCCTCCACCAAATCACTCACAGTAGCCAACGATGTGGACACCATCTCGAGCCTGACGAATATCTGGAAGTCGGTTTTGCAACTGGATCGGGTGAAAGAGGATGCGAGCTTCTTCGATGCTGGCGGAAACAGGTGCGTGTGTTTCTCGATCTCTCTGTATCGTTTGGCTGACTTTGTCAGTTTGTTGATGACAACTTTACACCAGTCTATCCTCGAATCTTGGCCAGGCTGTGGCGTGCAGCTCATCCACCTGTTCCAGAACGCGACTATCCGGAGCCAAGCTCAGTTGATCACAGTGCCGTCGCCTGCCAGTCGCTCCGCACCTTCTCTGAAAGCTCGCAAGAAGAAAGCAAGTGTCACTGGGAAGAAGGAGCGAGCAGCTAGGAAGGATTCCACCAGTCTAGAAGAAAGCAGAGACATCGCAATCGTCGGGATTGCCGGCAGGTTCCCTGGCTCATCATCGCCCCAAGAGCTCTATCAGCTTTTGCTCGACCAGACTGAAGGTTTGACGCATCTGTGTCCGGATTCGCCAACCGAGGTGTTCCCCGGCGGGGTATATGTACCGCATCGAGGTGCATTGAAAGATGTTTGGGAGTTTGATGGTGCTCGATGGGATATCAAAGCCGAAGAGGCTGAGTGGGTGTTTGTCTGATTAGTGACCTACGGCGGCTGAACAGTCCTACAGGGAGATGGATCCGCAACAGAAGCTGCTCATGACCGTTGCCCAAGAGGCTCTGGAAGATGCCAGTGCGGTTCCGCCTGCTTCCGGACCGAACAAGATCGGGCTGTTTGTCGGAGCTGCACCCTCGACCTGGGTTCCCAGTTGCGTGTTGCATTTCATCTGAGGTCAGCGAACTGACCTTGTTCTTAGGCAAGCCAGACGAGGATGCGTTCCACCATGCGCACCGAGAGGCGCTGACGCCCTGTCTTTCAGCCCTCACGGCATACCACCTGAATCTCCAGGGGCCGAATGTGACTCTCCATACCGCATGTTCTAGTGGCTTGGTCGCCATGTCTTTGGCTGTAGACAATCTCCGCTCGAAGACGTGTGATGTCGCAGTCGCTGGCGGAGTCTCAGTTGCATTCCCACAGTGCGTATTACTGATGTCTCCCATCGCCGGTGCGACCGCTTACCGAATGCAGAGCTGGATATATTACTGCGCCCGCACGCTTGTTCTCGCCGTCTGGGCACTGCCGACCTTTCGACTCGCGATCCGATGGCACACTGCCGGGAGACGCTGTCTGTGCGCTGGTGCTCAAGCGGCTAGGTGACGCTGTTCGTGATGGGGACGACATCTACGCCGTGGTCAAAGGGATGGCTGTCGGCTCGGACGGAAAGCCCGGGAAGGCGGGTCCCGTTGTTCCCAGCTCCAGAGGGCAAGCGCAGAGTGTGAAAGATGCCTGGACAGATGCGGGGGTCAGCGCAGGGAAGCTAGTCTATGCTGAGTGGGTGTTTCGCTAGGTTTACCCGAGCTCGATCTTATATTCATCCCAGACTGCACGGTAGTGGGACACCTATTGGTGACGCACTCGAGCTGGAAGGCTTGAAGATGGCTCGACGAGAGCTCGGAGTAGAGCAGATGCCGTACATCGTCGGATCAAACAAAGGAAATTTGGGCAACTGCGAGGTGCGTGGCTTGGTCGTGGTTCCGTATTTGCTCATTCGAACCTCCTCTCAGGCAGCGTCTGGATTGGTCTCTGTGATCAAGCTCGTGAAATCCATCCAACATGGCGTGATCCCACCGCTCCAATCCTTCGAACAGCCCAACCCGGTCATCGACCCGACACTCAAGATCTCGTTTGCCAAGAACCCGGTTCAGTTGTCACCTGACGCCTTGCTCAGTGCATCGAGCATCGGTCTCGGTGGCGTCAACGCTCATTGCGTGCTGGCATTCCCTCCAGTGCAGCATACGAGAAAGGCGTCGGTCGAGGTGATGCCCATCAAGGCGTCGGTCGATGTGTTGCTCGAGGTGCCTGGTCCGAAAACGAGTCTCCCAGAGGTCGCGTCGGCTGGACATCTCGTGCTTCGCCATGTTCGAACTATCCTCGGTACGGACGAGATTGATTCTACGACAGTGTTGAGGGATGCCGGGCTGGACAGTCGCGGCCAGATGGCTCTCTTGCATCAGCTGCAGCAAGGAGGGTGCCACATTCCGTGCGTTCATTCATTGGGAAGCTGTCATTCAGGTACTAACTGGATCCCCGCAGCCTCTCGGCGTTCATCGACCCAGCGTGCACGGTCGAAACCATTGTAGCGTCGATCAGTGCCTCACTTCCTTCCTACGTCTCGTTCCTGCAACAAGCGCCGACGGGGACTACCTACGTCCTCATCGCACCAGGGGGAGGCAGCTGCCTGTCGTATGCTGCGCTGGCGCGTCATTTACCGGCAGACTCGACCATCATCGCGCTCGATCACCCTGCGTTCCACGGCATCGACTCGGATTGTGGCATCAACGAGCTCGCCGGGAGATACGTGAAGGACATGCCGCCCACTTGTCGCGATGTCGTGCTTGTAGGCGCCTCGTTCGGTGGACTGGTCGCGACGGCGATGCTGGGCCCCATGCAGGAGGCCGGAATCCAAGTGCGGGCGGTGGCCCTGATCGACAGTCCGTTCCCGGGATCCACCCCCGCCGACGTCTTGCTGACTGCGGGCGCGTTTTTGCGCAACGTGTTTGCTCCGGAGACGAGACCTGCGCTCTCCGCCGAGGAGGATACCCTCGACCTTGTGACGTTCGCGGCTCGACATGGGATTGATCTCCGTGCGCTGGCCGGGACGTATGACAAGAACGTGAAGGCGATGGCCGACTGGTTGCCGTCCGGATCCCACGCCACTCCTGCGCTGTACGTCGCTGCGGCAGCTGACGAGGTCGACGAGCGCTGGCAGGCGGTATATGCTGGTATGTCCATCGAGCGAGTTGAGGGCGAACATGCCAGTGCCTGGATCGGGGACAACGCTGCCAAGGTTGCGGGCTGGATCGAAAAGATACTCAGCGCGCACTAAGCCAAATCGAATGTATTGTTAGTTTCAAAGTTGTTTCTTGTACAGCATGTGCTCGTATTCCAATGTATATCAACTATCACTCTTTGTCCTTGCGAGTGCGCTGAGGAACTGTCAGGTCAGGACGCGTCTTGTGACTCGTTCGCAGATGTGCTTTGCGCTAGGGTGCACCATCTTCTGGTTCTTGACGGGGCTCTCTTCTTGGGAGCGATATACTTCCCGATCTCCAAGCGCCAAGAAACGACACGTCCATACATGAGTTGCAGATGGGACTCGACGCGGGAGACTTTACGAGTCTGTATTACTTAGGTGCAGGTAGGCTGACAATTGCAGCTGGTATGCCAGGACCACTTATTGCCTGCTTTTTTCACACATAGTGAGACAAAACATGGACCTCATGGAATTTAAACTAATGCAGATCCCATTTCTGGCTGGACAACAAAAAGCTTGTCTTTTATTGATCTTGCTTTCATACTTACCTGGAAGCTTGTTTTTGGCACAGACATCCCCTACATTAGGAAAGATAAATCAGACTCTTTTTCTTTGAATATCAAGGTAACTGTTCGAGGACATTTCATAGGACCCAATGCATACAATACTGGTAATTTGTTGGTGCTAACCCGACATACAATCCGTCAGGGTGTGATCGATCCTGTCTTCCTGTCACCTGACTGAATATTTCCATCAAGTCACCTGATAAAATTGTGTGAGTAATACCATCACCGATGCAGCTGATCAGTTAATCAACTGCTAGTCATTTGATCCTATCTATCATCAACCGATACAAATATGAAGAAATGGTCACAAGGATCACACTTGTGACCCAATAACACCTCTGACCATTTCACCATAATTGTTGTAGTTGATGATATCAAGGATGAACTGATCAGCAGTTCATCAACTGATCAACTTGAACTGTTCATCAGGTAATGGGATCACTCACATGAGTCGGTCACATCACAGGGAGATAAGATAAGTCAAGACAGTCAGCTGACAAGATGAGGCTGTGAAAGGCAGGAAAGTGGAAGCAACTGTGGGGATCACAAGCAAGAAGGGAGAGCTGAAATCTGATGAGGCCAGTTTTATATATGGTAGAGTGATGGCTGTGCCTTGTCACATGATTAGGAGCATGTGATCTGATACTATCAAAATCTCTGTCCCAGTTTCTTCACCCTGGTGAAACTCAACTAGTTTTAGCTTAAGACAAAAAAGTGTGGCATTTGAGATATGGTTTTTTTGGTCAGGGAATTCGAAAATGACGTTGATTTTTATCCCTCTCACCAGCCATTGTGGCTGAAAAGACAAATTTCTTTGCAAATGGCTGTATTTCAAGGAATGATTGACCATATCTTGGTACCCAAGACACGTATTGGACAGATCTCTTTTGGTGCATGAGCGTGCATATTTAGGACACTAGAATAATTGCTCATACTGGCCACTACAGATCTCCAAACAGCAAACGTTCGGGATTCTTTCTAACGGGCAAATCCAACATTTGCTTGCAGCATGGGAAATATTCATCGGATCCCTTGGGTCTCTGTTGTATTGAACTCGGCATGGGAAATAGGTCTATTCCACACTTTTAAACATACAAATCCATGGGGTATTGCCTGAGCTCCAGAGGATCCTTGCAAACTTGTCGTGCTTGTTTGGGCCGTGTCTTAGCAATGGCTGATCGGATCGCTTCGGAAATTGTTCCATGCAATTTCTAGGGGTCGAGTACCCTACCTCCCTGGGGACTTTCTCTTGGACTCCTCACCATGAGCGAGATAGGCGACATTGGCCGGCGAATTTTGGAGGTAAATGTGCACCAAAGGTGGTCGCCGGAGCGGGGATATATTCAGGGAACCCCTGGGGGAGGTGTTCATGTAGTTTCCGATATTTCTTAATACTAAAGATTGGTCAGTGACCACCTTTTCAATAGGCTTGCAAATGAGTTGCTACTAGCAACTAGGTCTGTCTCGTTGAACTCTCAATGAATGGGATAGCGAAGAAAACAATCGCGGCACGATTTTGCATGCACATCAATGTTACGGCTGTTGCCCACTCCCAAAGTAAATTGCTTCAGACACGCTCACGTGCTATCACGGGATCCTGCGCTTCTCCTGACCATTCGTGAGAGACTCCTGAAAAGCTGGCATTCTGGAAATTTGATTCTGATGTATGTAGTACAAAGACGATCGGTAGTTCAAGCGAACCGAGCACAAATCGCCCAACGTGATTGAGATCAAGCTTGAAATATAAGTCACGTGCGATGGGAGCTAATCAACGCGGCTACTCCGCTCTTGCTCAACTGTGCACCTCGTTCAGTTGACACTCGAGCCTCAAAACTTCCAACTGGAAGCATGGAGAAGGGACTTATCCTACCTCTGATTTCAGGACCCAGTCGGAGCAGCGTGTCATCTGCTTCCGGCATATCTTGGAGGTGAGTACTCATATAGCCGTGGTCGGGACGCGTCATCCTCATTTTGACCCGTTGTTAGACGTGCTATAGCGCTAGCGTGCACCATCGTATGGATCTCAACGGGTCTCTCTTCTTGGGAGCGATATGCTTCCCGATCTACAAGGGCCGATAGAAGAAGCTTTCCGGACCTGTATGACGCGTCCATACATGAGTTGCAGACTGGACTCGACGCGGGAGACTTTACGAGTGTGCATCTCGTGCAGGTGTGTCGAGAATTCAAATCCTTCATGCGCTTCCGCAAAGCCAAACACTCGCCCCCTCCAGGCCTACTTTGCGCGCATCGCCGAAGTCAATCCCACGCTGCACGCCGTGATCGAGACGAACCCGTCTGCGCTGCGACAGGCTGCGGAACTGGACGCGGAAAGACGGCAGAGAGGAAAGAGGGGTTGGATGCATGGGATCCCGGTCCTGCTCAAGGTGTGTCTGGTGGTGCCTCACATGTAGTCCATGTCGCCTATCTCGCTGGCTGGATCCAGGATAACATCGCCACGGTAGCAACTGAAGGTGACTGCCTCCGAGATCGAAACGAAGCCATGCTGAAGATGCTTTGTTGGGATGAACACGACGGCGGGATCGTATAGTCTCCTGGGATCTGTAGTGCCCGAGGATGCCGGAGTCGTCAAGAGACTGCGGCGAGCAGGAGCCATCATCCTGGGTACACGAAAATCACCCTCTGGCATCCTCGTTCGTCGTTGATTCGTTAATCCAGGGAAGAGCAACATGTGCGAGTTCGCACATGCCCGCGGCTATCTTGCTTCTGGCTGGTCGGGACGCGGCGGCCAGGCGACCAGCGCATACTTCCCCAACGGCAGTCCCGGTGGATCATCCGGCGGCTCGGGCATCGCGACTTCGATTGGACTGGCAACGGTGTCGTTGGGAACCGAGACTGACGGGAGCATTACCTATCCGAGCAGCATGAACAACATCGTGGGCGTGAAGCCGACTGTGGGGCTGACGTCTCGTGCTGGCGGTGAGTAGCATCCATGTGCTGGGATGTGGAAAGGTTAACGAGAATCCATCAGTCATCCCGATCTCCCTACACCAGGATACTGTTGGTCCAATGACGCGTTCTGTAGCCGACGCCGCGATTCTCCTGGGCTCTATCGCAGGGATAGATCCCAATGATAACTTCACCCTCGCACAACCGTCCCCGCTACCAGACTACATCCAAGCTCTGGACCAGCACGGGATCCCAGGCAAGCGTATTGGTGTCCCGCGTTCTTTCGTCAACTCCAGTTTGGCTGCCAAATATCCGGTGATCATGTCGCAGTTTCAAGACGCCCTCCATGTGATGCAGACGCTTGGAGCGCAAGTTGTCGATCCCGCCAATGTGCCCACTGCCGAAGAGATCTTGTCGCTGCCGGAGATGGAGCGATCACAGCCAGCCGTCGTCGAATTCAAGGTCTGTATCGTGCACCACTTTGCGTTTACCTGCTAATTCCTCTTTCCAGGTGACCTTGAACGAGTATTACTCCTCACTGATCTCAAACCCCTCCGGGGTGAGAAGCATGGCTGAGTTGATTGAGTTCAACGATGCGCATCCCGAACTCGAGAAACCGGAAGGCTACGAGGGACAAGAGCTGTGAGCAAGTCGTTTGACAGCCCCCAGGTCGTTCCCAACTTCAATTCTAGACTCATTCGGGCCAATCATACCGATGGATATGATAGCGATTATTATGCAGCCAGATCCAAGAACTACCGGCTTGGATATGGAATAGACACCGTGCTGAAGGAGCTCAAACTCGATGCACTAGTCCTTCCACACTTCGTTGCACCTGTCAGTGCCACCCCTGGTGAGTTCTATCTCGATTGCACATGGTCGTTCCTCATGGCTTGTGTCCAGCGATGGCGGGGTATCCGATTGTGACTGGTTCGTCTATGCCACTTATTCCAATGTTTTTCCAGACAGATCGATCGTCTCCAGTTCCTCTAGGATTCTTCCCCGAGTCAAGCGGGTGCGCTTCGCGGCTATCTCCGTGAAACCGAGAGCTTACCCTGGTCATTCGCAGTACTGAGCCGATGGGGGCCGGGACAATCTTCCCAGCACCGGGCATGCCTTTTGGCTTGACTTTCTTCGGCACGGCATACTCTGAATTCACCCTGATTCAGCTAGCGTATGCATTTGAGCAAGAAACGCGGGTGCGAAGATTGGGTCCGCGGGGTTATTCGAGTGCTGTTCCCAAGACACAGCTAGATGATATCGTACAGCGAGCTCGAGGCAATCCAGCGTGTTTACATTGAGAAAGTCCTTTGAACAGAAGCTCTAATTAGGATTATAACAAGTCCAGTGCAGAAAGAGGGCAACTAGGGGATACAAATGGTTCAATCTAAGCGAGACACTCGAAACTCGATAGCGAAGGAGGGAGGAAGGATAAAGGAATATTACGAATTACGACGGTCACTGCGAATACATATTATAATGGTTATACACATCCTCGTAAACGGGCTGGTAAGTGGCGTAGTCGGTCGCACCCCAATATTGCGGCGACTGCTGATACCGCGGCTGGCGTGTCTCGTCCACAGTGTATCCTGGCCCCATCACCGCTGTCGAGGGCGACTGGTAGGCCCCCGACGACGCCGAGGCCGAGGCCGACCACCGATTGGGAGCATATGACGTGGGGTAGTGCTCCAGTGCGTAGTGACCCGCGGACGTGTACGCGGCGAACGGACGGAAGTCGTCGAGCGTCTGCGTCGCAGACCGTTTGCGGTGTCGCGGCGCAACAGTCTCGCCCGACATGTCGTGATCGTCGTGCTCGAACTGCACCCCGCGCAGGAGCTCCAGTGCGCGAGCGGCACCGGGCCACACAACCTGCATCTCCCGTAGCGCGTCCATGCACTTCCCCAACCCGATCCGTGCTTGAGGGTTAGCCGGGAAAAGTGTCGCAGAGCTGACGTGCATGATCGCCGCAGTGAAGATGTAGTAGCACAGAAACGCGGCGCAGTGCTTAAGGGTGTATGTTTCAGAATAGAGTCCAGCGATCGTGGTGATGTGGTTGGCGGCACTAGCGCACTGCTCGTAGCTGCGCTCCGCTCGACCCCGAGACTCGGTGTTCTCCGGTGCAGGACTCGGCATCCTCGACCCCGTTTTTCGGATAAATGGCCGATGAAGCAACAGCACAGCACACCAATACTGCATATGCAACGTCAGGACATGCGGTAACGGTGCAGGCCGCGACCCTGGCACATGCTGGAGATGCGAGGGAAGCGAGATTCTCCACTTGTCGAGCTCCGCATCAAGCACAACCAGCTCCGAGTGCCGGCTGCTGGCGGGTTTGAGCGCATAGATGCTCTCGACGACACGCCCAAGAATGTTGGAAAGGCGCGCAGACGCACTGAAGCACGAGATGGCATAGCTGGGTCGTGGATCTTGTGGTTTCCACTCTTCGCTCTCCTCGGCTTCCACTGTTTCGTCGGGCAGTGGTGTGTCAAAGTCGCGCTCGAAGATGGCGAGCGGTCGCCCTGTACGTGCCATCAGTACGAACCATAGACGCCTGCACTCGACCACTGACCAATGTACGTGCTCACGTACTTATCCAATACAACACATGCATACCAGATCCGGCGCCGCTCGGATATCTCC